CAGCCATTAAAGTTTAACTTGTTATAACCTATCCCTCTCCCTAAAGGTAGGTTTACACTTGGCAATAATTTTCGGTAATATTTAGTAATAAACCGAAACCGAAGTTTTAAGGGATTTAGAAATATTTGGTTTAAGCTTAAGGCTTAAGTGAAACATTATCTGTTTTAAAGTGCACATTTTCACTGTTGTTAGAGCACAGCTCATTTGGGACCACATTCCCCTGAAACCCTTGGGGAAATGAGCTGCTGCTCTCAGTCACCTGCTGGAAGAAGCGCAGAGGCTTCCTGTGTACATCTGTGGGAGTGGATGCCTGCTCTCTGAGGGAACAGAGGGCAGAGGGCAGGACCTATGTGTGCACCATTTACCAGAGGGAAAAGGACTAACCATTGAACAAGGGAACTTGTGAGTGTTATTAGGTTTGTGAGTTTTGTGAACTCTGTTGTTTATTTGGAGGCCGGTAAGACTTGCTTAGCTACATGGCTAGGATAGTTAGGGACTCCAAGATGAAGTGTAGTCAGGAGCTCAAAAAGATTGCTGTTGTTTTGGTTTCTTGTTGTGAAGTAGCTTGTTTGTTACCTGCACTATAAATAAAAAAGCCTCCAGGGTGTTTTTCTAAACTTACACTTGTCTGTTCTGTGTGTTGGTTGGTCTGGACCCACCAGTTTTTAAAAAGCCCATTACAACACGCCTAACATTTTGTCACACTGTGCACTGTATGCCAAAAATGCAAATGTTTACAAATGGTATACATTTATGTTGGTAATAAACTGTATTTAATTACATTTAAAGATAAATATTTTTGGGGGTAAAACATTAAGCGATGTCTATGTATTAGGGATATTTATAATACAGTAGAGAAATTCTGACTGTGTTTAGTTTACATACTTATATTTCTAATTAGGAAAAATGCACACAGAGACGTTTGCAGAGATTGTAGTCTATCAGTTAAGTAACATTTTTCTATTGCAAATATGGGGTTATTTTGACTTTTGAAATAGTTTTCATATTGATAGTTAGCAAATTCCATGGGAGGATACTGCAACTTCCTAGGGGGAAATACAAGCTCGTGACTTCATGTGAAAAGATGCTATCTGCATCCTCCAGCCTTTCCTCCTTATTAGGATGGGGCAGCGTCACTACAAACAAGCATTCGTCAGGTTTGTGTCATGGCTGATCAGCAATGTGACCGTCAGCAATGGACAATAAAAACTGTAACAAAAGCCTTCTCTGGCTTTTTGCTACACCCGTTAAGTGAAACTAATTTCTGCCCAGTGTTTTATTTAACAATGAAGCACAGGCAAACACACATCATTATCAAGTGGCACAGTAAATAACCTGATCCCCACGATACAAGTGCTGTTCTCTTTGGTTACTGTAGTGTTTGCAGAAGTGTGTGACATCAGCTTCCAAATGAATGGTCAGGGGAAACTTCATAAACCCTGAAACCACAGCTAAAGAAGAAGGCTGGGGACTTTAATTCCTGATTTTTCTGCTGCTTGCAGGCTATTTTTTTAGTTAAGTTAGTGTCTCTTTTAAATTCATTGAAGGGTTTTTGTCAGTTTGGATATCAAAAATGAAAATAAGTGTGATACTGCGTCTTAAAGAGGAATCTGGAAGTTGACATGGCCAATGAACCTCCTGGTTGCACTGGCTGTATGTTTTGGGGGCATTGTCATGTCGCACAGTGAACATTGCCCGAAAACCTTGGAAGCACTTTCTTCTATGTATGCAGACGAAATAAATCTTTCAACTTCAGAATTCATTCGGCTGCTGCCATCTTCAATAAAGATCAGCGAGCCATCCCCTTACTCATTTAGGAACAGCTTGGCAGTCACTTGCATGACGTTTGACGTAATTTGTACATCTGTATGAAAACAATGCCTCAATTGAGCTTCAAGGATTCACCCAGATTTCCTGAGGCTGGCTGAGAACTCTGGTGAACACTCTAGAGTTGTAATGAGAATCATGTCTTACAGTGTATAACGGTTCTGTTTCTGACTAGTGGATCGATTTGGGTAAACCCTCAGACATATAGATACAGTATCATCCACGAATTGTTTTAATTCAGGACCATATTAAAAGGCCAGAAATTACATTTTGCACCACAGTGGGATTTGCTTGATACAAATATAAATGTACCTCATATTAAAGCAATTGTTAAGATTTTAAGGTTGATATACTTTTTAATTTACAATAAATGATAACTGTATTTCTTCTGTATTTCTTCTATTATAGCAGATAACAAGAAGGAAACATCTCAACATTTGAAATGAGTCAGAGTCAATGTGAGTTTTAAGCATTAAATTAAATATTTATATTCATATACAGAATCTACTTATTTTACTAATAATTTACCAATTTCTAAATCACTTTAATTTAGCTTGTATTCGGAACATTTTATGCATAGCTTTAAAATGTTTAATTGAATAACACTGAGTGTTTAGTAAGCTTTGAAAGATTCACATGCAAAGATAATTGGTCAATAACATATGGAGCAGTAGCCACCAATTGGCGAATTGCAGTGAAAATATTTCAATATTTCAAGAGGGACAGATCTGAGCCAGGAAATAATAGACAAGTCAGTACCCAATCTGCTAATTAGTAACAAATTGTTAGAGGTAAATTTTGGAAATGGTCAGTAGATTGTAATTAGAAGAATACTTGGAAAACAATGGCATTCTAAGTTTCTAAGAAGGTTCTGTTCAACTTACTGTACTTTCAATTCTTCAAATAGTCAACAACTACTGTAAAATATACAACATGATATACTTAGACTTTTAGAAAGCTTCCTCATGTAGGATTGTTTCTCAAATCAAAAGCCATTAGAAAGTTAATGCATGGACAGGGATTGAGAACTTTACCTGGACACAGCATGAAACATATAGGGATAAAAAATGTTACCGGGAAGATGTAAGGAGAGGAGTGCCGAAGGGATTCATTTTAGATCAAACCAATTAGTTGTCAAAGAAAATCTGATGTCAGCAATGCAGATCATACATACTGTAAATCTGGCAGGAACAGAATAACTGCAAGGGAATGACAAATACTTTTTGTAATTTTTTAAAATGAAAACAAAACCTGTTCCAAACACCCAAAGTATGATTACTTGTATAGCATAGTAGGAAATAAACGTATTTTCTAATAGACTTCCATCATAAAAGTCCAAAGGACACAACAGCTGAACAGTTGAGTACTAATGATGATGTAGCAACGTAACTTCGAGTCACCGTTTGAGAAAAAATTGTACAGAAATTGTACAGAAAAATTGCACATTGCACAAAAATAAAATAGAACTTTCATTGCTACTATTTGCACATCCACTATCAAACTCAAGACTATTTTATTAAGGTTTACAGACAGGTTTAACCCATAGGACTGCTTCATACTCAAAAGTGGAAAAAGACATGAAATGACAACCTAAGGAGATTTAATTTAGGACAGAGAACAGAAAATATTTATTCAGAGAGGATTGGGTGTCTGGAATAGGATTTTAAACCAGGTGATTGAGGCCCAAACTCTGGGCACTTTTAGGAAATAGCTGGACAAAATGTTAGAGTCACTGAGATAATAAACAACAAATTGTGCAAGGTGGTCCGAGTGCCCCCCTCTTGTTTCCAGATCTTTTCTTATATTCAATGACTAGGCAAAAATTTACAATCTAAAGTACAATAGCTTATTATAAATAGACATACATTTGGGTTCACGTTTTAGGCAGGAGACAATATAATTGCTTTAGAAAAGTGAGTTACAGTACATTCTGTAATTAGAGAAGCTACAAAACGGCATTGATATAAGTGTTTAAATTAAAACTTCAAAATAGCAGCAGCTACTTCAATAATATACACTGTTCTGTTAAATGGAAACACATGACTTGACCTTATAATTTTACACAAAATACCACTCAAAGGTCATAGCATTCAGATGATCACATGACCAAGTAACGACACCATAAAGGGTGTTTTGCAAAACTGCATTTTCATAAGGTAACTCATTTTTAATTTGATAGCTTTAATCTAATCATGTAAAGCATGCACTATGTGAGCACAGTATACAAAAGGAGTCATTTTCATTCCATGTTGCCAAGCTTTGCTGTTTTGTGAAGCACAAGACAGTGTCTCATGCTTTTAAATATCCAAGAGAATACTACTGCTATGAAGCAATCGTTCTGAAGTCATTCCCGGCCTAAAAATTATAAAAACACTCCCTGTCAGAGTCATGGGACTACATTCTTTCCTTTATAATAATTCAATAAAAGTAAAAGATTAAACTAAAACAAGAAATTGCCAAAAGCATTTTTAAAACAAAAAAAACTTTTTGTAAGACAGTGCAATACAGTTCAGTTTAGAATCAGAGAGTAATATTCTATTGGAAACGCGAGTGAGGAAGTGGTGTTGCCTTTAGTGCAGCATCATGAGAAGAGAAATATCACAGGTGTTAAGGCATAGCCTATTTAAATTAATTGGAGGGTAATACTTGCCTTTGTGCCATGTATGGAGCATATGAACATTAACTACCACAGCAGAAGTAAAACATGAAACAATAAAATTGGCTTCCTACAGTATCTCCATATTTTGCATATATTCGCACCAAACAAATTATAATGGATGACTAATACTGTATGGCTGGATTTCTATTTTATCTTCTTTCTTGCTTAACATTAAATGCAATATGCAGTAAAGGGAAACAATATATTTTCCATCCATTTAAAATGAATTGGACTTCATAAAATCCCTTAACAAGATTCTTTATATGAGCTAATTTCAATGCTAGATGATGAAAAAAAAGTTTTTTTTAACAAGACCGATGTGTTAACTTGGGTATCAAAAGTAATTAATTTTGCAACAAAGCATAAGAATTATGCAAATCTATAGATGATTTAACTAGTTTTTTCAGCAGCCAAATTTGAAAACAACTAGATTTAATCTCAGAACTCTAAATCAGTATTTTAAGAACTGCAATACTTGAGCATTACTTCTGCAATAAAGACAAAACATTCTACATTCAAAACAAAAACATTTCCACATTCTCTGTTTTTATTTCAATATCTCTTTGCATAATATACAAGAGCAATGAGTCATAATTTATCCAAAGATTTTAATAAAAGGAAAGACACAGTCAGTTATTAGGATGTCTGTTTCATTTCTTTTTGAAGTACCTAGGAGAAAAAAAAATGTTATAATGATCATTAAATGATTCTTTTCCAACAGAGACCATGATGGTGTTTAATAACCTGAAAATTCCATAAACTCTAAAAAATGTTTTTAATGGAGCTTTCGGATATTTCTACTAAACAATTATTACAGATGGTACCTGTATACTGTTTTCTACTGTATACTGTGCTTTATTTCACAGTGAATAAGCTACTGATCACATCTGTATTTTGCTCATTAAAAATAAAGCATAGGTATAAACCCCATTTCTGTTTTCATTTAAAAAAATAAGCAAAATGACCTTTAAGAGTATTTGGTTTTAATATGAATTGATGCAATACTACTTCAGGGATACAGAAGAGAACTCTCTCCATCCCACTGCTTCAGGCATGCTAGAATGTTAGGAGTTTGCAAGTACAGTATATACACACAATATACTGTGTATACCATCTTATTTCTTTTTAAATTCAGAAACAATTTCAATTTCAATTGAAATTTTAAAGCAATTCAAGATTTATTACTAATTAACAATTAGAACAAATGCACAAATTATATCATAGAAATACTTTCACTGGCCTTCCATTAAGAATTGGCTTGGTGATATTTCTGGAATAATATAGTACTCTCATGCTGAAGTGTCAATTGACCTTTCGTCTGTAACCTTTCTTGTGTATTCGAGCTGGCACAAAGCACACAATTAATATGGTTTGGTTTATTAATGGAAAACAGAAGATGATCTGAAGGTAATTACATAGGCAGAACAAATTGGATCATACTGTACTTAATGGAAATTTAGCACAATAATGTAAAATCAAGCCTCGCTACCTGGGATTCCATTGTTATTTTTTTGTAAACCTGCCTTTTGCACTAACATTTTCAAATCTGTGGGTAACAACTTTCTAACGAGCATCAGCTGAAACCTAGGTTCACTTGTGCAAGAAGGACTTAAGAATTTTACAGTGAAGTTTCTTCAGTAAAGACAAAAGGCACATCAAAAATAAACAGAAACTCTTACCAAGAAATAGAGAAGCCCAAGAAGACAACAAATGCGATGAGTCCCACTGATCCTCCAGCTACTATGGTCACATGTTGTATAGTATGAGATAATTCTACAAAGGAAAGATGGTTATGTATGACACTTGTCTGTCATTAATAATAATACAAATTCAGTAGTTCAGTGAGATTCTAAAGAGGGATGAATTGATGAGGTGAGTATGTGATATGACTCACCTAGCTGAGGGAATGGCAGCCTTTGAGGACACACTATTGTGAGGAATGAGCCAGGGAGCTGCTGCAAGAGTTTAGATTTGGTGAAGGGAGGGGTGCCAGAGAGATACACAAAGGGAGGTCCTGGGCATGGGACTTTTATACTGTATGTACTGTGGGCATGCAGAAATGTGCGAGTTTAGTGTGTGCTTCCCCTGTGTGTGCGATAAAGTAGTTTCCCCTCCATGGGGTAGGGTTGATTTGTGCCCTATAGACAATTGGATCAGAGCAGCACTTAAGAGTTTTGTATAATATGCCAACCTGCAAATGCAAATCACTATTAATGCCATTTCTGCAAAAAATGACTTGGAGAATTAAATATTTTCTCAGAAAAGTACAAACTCATGCAACAGACACTGCCAGTTAGGCAGCTGCCACACAATCCCACATTCAACACCAGAAACCAACTCTTTTGCTGGATTTTTTATAACACTCTTTTCAGTTATATCAGGAAGACTGGACAGGAAGTTTTATACCGTACATGTTACGGGGTTTTTGGAGATATAGAAGTTAGTATGTGGTAGCTCTACTGTACATCTGGAGTTAAATTTCAAGTTAATGGTATTTGACACTCCATGTAAAGTAGACATTTTATTAAATTTTCACCCTTGAATGTCTGTTAATGTCTGAAATTGAAAATTGAGTACCTATACAGTGTTATTATAAATGCTCTTTCTCTTATGCAAAGAGAAAAAGAAAAGAATAAAGCTCACCTCTGGTCTTTGCCCAAAAGACACAAGATTGTTTTCTAGCCTGGAAATAAAACAGTGTCAGTACAGCTCCAACTGAACAGAGATCCTTAAGAGAATTGTTAGCATTCACTAATGTGAAATTCAAGCTTACTACTCGAGGTTTCCTAAGTATCTGAGTTTGACACCTCTTTCTGTCTTGTGATTTCAACACAGTTTAAGCCTCAGGAAAGTCATATATAAGAAACAGGTCTTGACACACTGACACAGTGTAAACATACGCTGTGTCAGTAACATATCTTTAAAATACTTGAGATATATTTTACAAGAATTATGTTATAATAAGATGGAGATTCTTGTTTGAACCACATTCCCCAGAATGCTGTGGGGAATGAGCTGCTGTCCTCAATCACCTGACTCATTGGTACAAGACAACTGATCAGGCGACAATTTAAAAAGCAGGAAGCAAAAGCTTTCAACTGTAAGTCACCATCTGGTGTCTGGGGACAGAGGGCAGATCCTCTGTTATGCAATTAGCAGCAGCAGAAGAAGAAGAAGGAGCGAGGGAATGAAGCCACAGCCTGCCCGCCTGATCAAACACCTCTCTGAAGATGTGAGCAGCTCCAAGACGAGTAAAGTTTTTGTAGAGGTGTGGTTGTTTTGTGTATCTTCCTGTGCACTGTAAACAAAGTGCACTTACTCTTTGCCTCTTGACCTTGCTATGTGTGCCCATTCTATCCTGATCTACTTATCAAAGTTCGTATTTTATGACACTCCACGGCAGGGTGTGTCTCAAGCTGCATGAGAACCTTGCCCCAGTTACTACCACATAAGCTAGATAGACAAAATGACCTCTGCATATTTGCACTCTTTGTTATTTTTCAATGATACAGGCTAATGCAGAAGAAGTTCATTTTTATAGTTAACTTTTGCATTAAGGTTTAATTACACAAGAGCAAAAGAGGTACAGTGAGACACAAAACTGGAGTTTGAATTAAATAAAATTAAAGCTCTTCCAACTGCAATCATACAGTATCTAGGGTAATGCTGCTCTGAAGGCGTTTTAGCAAATTATACATAATGCTGCTTACCCTTCCCCACTGTGTGACAATCTTCAGGATTATGTAGTAGGAGGTGCCTTCTTTTAAAGGAGCATTGTAGTACTCCCCATAGTATCGCCGATCTCCCACAGTGAAGACCAGTTCACTTCCAATGTCTTTGGCGTGGATCTGTGCAGCCACATATGCTCCCCATGGTTTGTCCTGGCTGTAGAAGTGTGGTGCACTGGGTGAGCTGCAGTCAAACATTGAGAACCCCTCCAGAGGCAGCACAAACACCTGATAAAAACTGAAAGACAAAATAAAAACATTTTTAATCCACAACCTCTGATACCCCTGAGCTGGTTACAAAGGCTGGCTTTAGGTTCTTTATGTACGATGAAAGCAAAGGTGGATAGCAATTATTTACACTTTGGCGCAGTGGTTGGCATCGCTGTCTCCCAGAGCTGGGGCCTTGGGTTCAGTTCCCAGGGTGTTAACTGCGTGGAGTTTGTACAGTATGTTCTCCCTGTGTTCGTGTGGGTTTCCTTCAGGTGCTCCGGTTTCCTCCCACAGTCCAAAGACATGGACTGTCTTGGTCTGTAAATTGGTTTCAAGGAATGTTGGCCCTGGTGTCTGTGTGTGCTCTGCGATGGGCTGATGTCCTGTCCAGGGTGTATCCTGCCTTGTGCCCATTTCTTTCTGGGATAATTTCTGGCTCCCCCTCAACCCCATATTGGTCAGAGATACAGTCCTCTATTGGATGAAGTGTTTTGAAAATGGATGGCTAGACCTTTTCTAGTTGGTAAATCACAATTTTGGAGTATATGGTTATATCTGTGTGGTACATTTCAGTTAAATAAGGATACAATACATGCAGAAATACCTCTTATTTTTCACTATTTAGTGTTCATATTGCCCATGGGGAGTTTGGTGCTTGTAACAGCTTTGGACGACGGCAGATATTCAGGTTACAGTATATTACACAAATAAATCAATTGCACCATTATCAAACATTGGTGGTGCCAGGTTCACAGATCATTATTAGATCAGCAATTTCATAACCCCTGAAACAGATTTTCATGACGACTGACAGGTCATTCATTTGTTTAATTAGGTAGTTTAGAAATCATTTGCAATGAAAATACCAACATGCTACAATTCACAAAACCATAGTTGACCGTTCCTTAATTGAACCAATTAACTGAATAGATCAAAACTTACATGTGCTTCAAGTGGATCCCCAGGATGTATGCTACACTCCTGTTATATTCATTTTATTTACAAATTAGCAAACATGAACCCTCTTGGAGAGTTTTATTTAAGCACAATTTAAAAAAGACAGCAGCAATTAAATAAACTTCTCTGAAAATGAAAAAGAGGAAATGGTATTCTACTGAAGTAACTTCTCAACAACGTCCCCTTGATTAGAAATTACAATTGCACATATGTTGGCCATTCTGTCACACAGATTTAGCAATGCATCATTATTTCAGTCCATTCAGTTGCAATCACACCCAATAATGAATATGATTGGATGAGATAGAGCAGTGCAACAACTTCACAAACAAATTCTTTCATTCCTATTTAAGGCTGTGAGGTATAGTTCATAGTCATGTTGAAAAACACCTAGAATATATGCATTAAATGACAACTTAATTAGTGTAATTTTATGAAGATGAAAATGAAGCAAGCAAGAAAACCAATATACCTTATAGGATCGTTAGAGTTTGCCGTTTTGTGTAACTGAAGCGTAGGCAAGGGGCCTTCAACGTCTTTGTATGTAAGTTTAGGTATTGGAGGATCTGGAGGACAAGAAAAAGAAAGGAGAGTGATTAATACCACTCTGTGGTGGTATTTTCAAAGTTTAAAATATAATTACATAGCAGGTTCTTCTCATCAGCCTGATGAAATTAAGGCTAACAAAACATTTAAATTAATTAAACATGTAATATAATTTAAATGAATTTAATTTATTACATACATTTTAATTAACTTTTAGGTTAAGTAAACTTAATCTAAAGTGTATACAGCATGAGAAGAAAAGCTGAAAACACTGTTGCTCTACAATTATGTTAAATGTGTAGAGTTTTAATCTGTCCAAATACATGCTTTCAGAATTTGAAGATATTTTCCAAATTTGGTATGTAATTACATTGCAGGTTCTTCTCATCAGCCTGATAAAATTAAGGGTAATAAAAACGAAATAGTGAGAGTCAAAACTGGAATTTGAGCGTAGTGAAACATGGAGGTTTGGAAGCATTTGAACTGTTGGACAAAAGAAATGCAGGTTAAGAAGTTGCAACATGATTTTTTTTTTTTATTTCAAGCATCAACTTATTTTACTTTTTTACTTTTGGAATCAAGTATGGGGGCAACAACCCTGAAACTCTCCAAAACGTTGACCAGATCGTTAAATGAAAGGTAAAATGATGTTTCATGGCTCTGTTCTCTCATTATGTCTAAATTATTATTTTATGGAAGTATAACATTTTAACATTTTTTAAAATGTCTTTGCAGTATGTCACTTCAGAATTGGAAATTATTATTTTTATGGTGAATGGATGTATAAAATATTTTTAAAAACATATGTCTTGCATTATTTCAAAGAACTCCCAAGGATTAGATGCATGCTAATCAGACATGCACAGTCCAACTTGTTAAAAACAAGACAGGCTAACCATTTTTAACTTTATTATTCAGTTTATGCATTTTTTAATAAAAACTTGGGCTGAGCAATGAAGAAATATTACTTTATGAAAGGTTTCATCCTAAATATCTACCTAATATAACCTGTAATTCCTTCTTGAGACCTTGAGACTACAAAGAATGTAAGATTCAAATATAAGTATTTATTTGATACCTTGTTTAATAAACAGAAAGACCATTTTGTTTCTCTGGCCCTCAATGCTCTTGTGTGCATAATGACTCATTTTTAAATACTGCAGGATTTTTTTAAAGGGCAAAAGTATTTTTGTCTGTGAGCTTTCTCTTGCATAGTTTGGCATCTACACAGCTACACAGGAATTTCTTAACATTACAAACAGAACAGAAACATACAGTCCTAGACTCTTAAATGTAAACTATAATAATAGGAGAAGCCCACTATCTGAGTCTTGACTTTTTCAGTATTATTTTGCAATGAGAACAGAATAACAGAAGCTTCTAAAGCAGATGACCTTAACTTCTTAAATTAAATATGATGAGTCCTAGTATTTGTGTGACAGTATGCCCTTGTTTAACACACTTACTAGTTTTTGTCTTCCTGGGATTCCCCTATTTTTAGACCATGGGACTCATTAAGTTGATAAACGATATGAGTGAACGAAAGGTCTTCCAGTGACTCTGCTCATGATAAAATGTCCTCGGGGTTTCTCCTGAGCGAAAGCTTTTCTTTCATTAAATTCACAATAAGACTCTCAGCCTGGAGAAAAATTGTTAGTGTCCATTTTCAGCATCCTTTCTGCAAGCAATGATGCTCTTAGATGGACTTAATGAGTATCTTAGTCTATATTAATTTCTGAACCAGTGTGCATGTTTTAAAAGCACTGTTTGATATTTTATTAGCGACTTTTTACAGCCAGTTCGGTCCGATGCATGATGTTAAATTCCATGTACATAATTAGAACAATTTACACAATTAGAAAATGGGTTTAAACAGGCCTAAAAGGCCTAAAACTCAATTCTTGTTTTAAGAAAGATTTCATTCTAAACATATACCAAATATAGGTTCCAATGTGTACACTGTATGTTAAGAATGTGGGTCATTCAGCTTGTTTATTTGAAGATTTGTTAATTAGAGTAAAGGTATTTACCCCTTATGGGGGTTAAATGGGTATTAATAACATGTTTTCACTTTTCATCCTATTTTTTCCCATGCTTCAGATATCACAAAACCATAAATGCTCCCACAAAGTTTCCTTGTTTTGCAAGCTCTTACTCAGACAACTGTCAGTCCGGGACTGATGCAACCCTGTACTGTACAGTGTAAACACACTGCAGTTCTTATAGTTTCTCTCCTAGTAGGATATTTGAATGTAGGCCAATATTATATATAATTCAGTGTGATTAAACAATTGCAAAAAAGGGGCATTGTTAAGGGAAGCCACTAATGTAACTATACTTCTAGATTTTCATGAATAATTTAGACACTCGAATTCTGTAGTTATCAATACTGTTAAGATAGAAAGAATGTATATTTGAAATATCAAAGAGGTGGTACTGACCTGGAAAAATTAATGTATGAGAAAGGAACAGGATGTTGCCACATCTAGTGTGTAAATGGCCATAACATCTGTCATCTGTACTAAATGGAGTACTGAAATACCACACAAACTTTACGGCATTCCAAACTGATAACCATTTTGGAAATCTTAAATCTTTCTCTTTAGTTGCTGATTTTTTTTTTGAAAGATAAAGTGGTAAACCTACTGAAGAGTGGCAGAAAAAGCTTTATGAATAAGCCCAAGCTGTGTGTCTCATAGCTGCTGTGAACAGAATCATTAACTGTACCTCCTATACTGGTAGTGAGATTGACTGTAGAGGAGAATCCTGCGGACAGTGCAGTAATGTTAATAGTGTAATTCGTTCCTGGCAGCAGATTCAGGCAGATCTCTGCAGACGTTTTTGCTGAGGTGAAGTGCTTTGTCTTCTTATCCACGAATTGTTTTTGGTAGTCTCTCAGGCCTATATAATGAACCTGTATGGGACACAACTGTCATCATCTCATAACAAAAAACACACAAATTAAAAAACACCAGGATGATTTCATGTGAAATTATAGCCTACAAAATATCCCACAAACATTTGTAAAAACACAACAAAACTTTTCAAGAATAAATAGTAATCCAACAGCATTGTTTGCTACTCACTTCTGAAGTTCAGTACATTAATTTAGTTACTGAAACATTTTGTTAAACCTTAACAAAAGATTGACATTCTTCTTAGTTACATTCTGTAATTCTCATTTAAATTGTATGCAACTCCATTCAAATGCTTTCTAACAAGAATCCAACAATAAAGGGTATACAGCATGATAAGAACAGCTGAACTGGGAGCTGAAAACAGTTATTTTAAATGTGTAGAGTTTTAATCTGTGCAAATAAATGCTTTCAGTGTTTAAAGATATTTTCAAAGTTTAAAATGTAATTACATTGCAGGTTCTTCTTATCAGCCTGAATAAATTAAAGCTAACAAAAATACAATTTAAAGAGTCAAAACTAAAATTTGAGTGTAGTGAAACACTGATGTTAGGAACCGTTCGATCTTTATTTCAAGCATCAACTCATTTTACTTTTGGAATCAAATATGGGGACAACAACCCTGAATAAACTCTCCAAAAGTCTGATAGATCATTAAATGAAAGGTAAAATGATGTTCCATGGCTCTATTCTCTCATTATGTCTAAATTATTATTTTATGGAAGTATAACATTTTAACATTTTTTAAAATGTCTTTGCAGTATGTCACTTCAGAATTGGAAAATCTCAGTAAACGTTCATATTTTATGTCAGTACTGTATATCTCTGAAGTAAAACTGAAGAAAACATTCAAATAAAACATTGCAAAACATTTACAGTACCTTGTAGATCTCTTTTTCTTGACCATTTCTCTCAGCTTGCCACTGTAGACATTTTTCTTTAAAAATTAAAATTCTACTGATGGCAGGCTTTTTTTCTGTCATTTAAGAGAAATAAAATAAGAAAACTCCAGGCATTAGAATACAACTTCAAATATTTTTTGCCCCATTTTTCACTCAAAGCTTAAAAACATCTTGGCTCGGGCTTAAGCTCTTAATTTTTTAGCTCAGTCAGGCTACAGAAAGTAGAAAGTGGATGGAAATGAACAGAAATGCAACTGAAACACCTGTAAAGTTACCTTATTAAAGGAGGCTTCCTTTGCCTTAATTACAAATGTCAGCACTGATGCTCTGAAAAATCCTTAGATTTTTGCCACTGGTGATCATTACACATCATAAACAAAGAGATCAGAAGTACGACAAGACACAATGTAATCATTCAAACTGTAAGAGAAAAGATTTAATGAATCACGTACAGAACTGCTCCAAGACCAAGTCACGTAACCTGCTGGTCTGGGGTTGGACAGTGTTTAGGTGTGGTTAACAGCACCTTACCTTTGCACAGTAAAGTAACTGCTGTCCATTCTCCAGTGTTGGTGCAGACAGATATAGTGGTGCCACCCTGGCTGATGAACCCATCCTTACAGGAATACTGCAGCATGCTGCCAACTACTGTGCCATTCAGTTGCAATACCTTTGCATGGTCCACACATGGAGGAGAACCACAGTCAATTTCTGGAATAGAATATTAGCAGGAATTAACATCAGACCCCTTCCCATTTGGAACTATATCATAGTACTGTTTTGAAAAATTGCTTCTTCCTATTTCTTAGTGGGTATAGTGATATTGTAAATCAGAGTAATTTTTATTATTTTGCCTGTCAGTTTAGTCTGCTTAGTCAGCAGTATTCTATTGTGTCAGACAAACATGTTTGTACCTATCCCCTTATTTAAAAAAATGTACCCACTGCCCAGAAGAGGCAGTTTTTAACCTAGGGATTCTCAATACAGGAAAACAGAAATTCCTAAAAAAAACAGAATGGCAAGCTTGAACAAGGTTCAAAAAACGTAACTTAAATGTGGTTTTACAGGTTGATCAGAACAAGCCTTCTGTCTTCCTTTCACCTCTCTCCTCTCTCTTTCCTCTTCCCTTCTGTCTTTCTGTCTCCCTCTCTTTTCTGTCCTTCTTCTCTCTCCATTCCATCTCTCTGTCTCCTCTTCCTGTCTGTCTACTTGCCTTTTTATGATGTGCTCATGGACTGTTGTTGACTCTTAATCATTTACCCATAACTGAATCAACCAAGGGAAACCAGAGGATTCCTTTGATCAATATGTGACACACCCACTACAAAGAAGTAAACACCACAGTTCTTTTTTTGCTCTGAGGCTCCTGGGAACACCAAATGTTAACATAAGATAGGTGTTAATTATTGCATCTAGATTCACTTACAGTACATGTCAATAGCCACTTCCAATAACCACAACAATACAGTAGTAAAACAACAACTCCAGTGTTTCTAACACATCGTGCTCACAATTGATTTTAAAACTTTAAAAGTTCATTCCTTTAGTAGGTAAAAGAATATATATGTATAGTAGATTAACTACCAGAACTCACACACAGTGACTCATGGATATTAGGTCCTAACATGTGGTACATACAGTAAAGAATATTCCGGGATGAATCTTTATCAACTAGGGTTGTGAGGGAGCTACAGCCTATATACCATCAAGCAACGGGGTACACCCCGGACGGGACATGAGTCAATCACAGACACAAACAAGTACACTCTCACACCAGGATAAATTTTCCCAAAAGTTGCTCACTTGCTCAATTTGCACACGCCTGTAGAAGGTGCCAAAACGTTGTGTTTTCTCTCTTCTCTTTTCAGCGTGGAATAAACCTATTACTTGTTCCTTTGCACCCTGCGCATGCTGACGCAGCTACCCACCTGACCAATTTTTCCCAGAAGCTGTTTAACCCACCAGTATGGTTTTGGACTGTGGGAGGAAACCCACATCTTTTACCACAAAATATTTTACAGTGCTCAAGTGGCCACCGATGTTGCAGTCAACTTCAAGTTTCTAACAAGTGAAGAACGGGCGGCAGTGGTGAAGGATATCCTTTCCACCAGTATTAGAACAGTGTGTAATGTTCTTTTCTGTGCTGTTCTATGCTAATCCACCCACAATTTCCTGAGAGAAAATGTGTGTGTGCTTTTATAGTATACACATAATAAGAGCTTTGTGAGGAAATGTGTTTGAAAAACAAAATATTGAATCTATTCTTGGAGCTCGCATTTGACAAATTAACATTTCTAAAAAAGCGTTGATTATAATCAGAAGTGCAGGTTTGTGCTGTTAGTGATGGTTCTTTTACATGGTTTAGTGTTAAAATGTTCAATTAATGAATTAACTGTAATGTAGTTCTGTAATATGATAACAGAACTGAGCATTACCAAACGTTTATTCTCATATTTATATATAAAATTGTGTTAGGTCATTATTGCATTTTATCAGCTTGGTCATCACACACACTTAGCAGCTTCTAAGCTTCAGTTATCAATTTTATCGTATTTCATTGGTAATTATTTCACCACAGAGGTACTAAAAAGACAAAATAGTTCAAATTCAAATACTTTTAGCATACATTATAAAAACATTGTGAACAATGCTTTAAAATGCTCAAACAGTTAAACCAAACAGTCGTCAACAATTGTTTAAACGTTACTTTATCCATCCAGGTATTTTTGTTCTTCTCCATAGCTCAGTATTACATTTGCTTGGGGAGCTGTATCTGCAGCAAGGTAACAGTGCCCTCTACTGATTGTTCTTTTTATAGCTCGCAACTAAAAGGGAGGTGGCATCTGATACTTTGCTGTGGAATTTAGTGTTTTTGTTTATTACCACGATTAAACAAGCCTTGTCACAAAATAACTCTTGAAAAAATATTATTATTATTATTATTATTACACAGTGTTATGGACATTGTATTTCCACCACTGAAGCGCAGCACCAAACAGCCGATCAGGTGAAGACAAATTCTCTCTTCTCATACATTTGAATTAAGGGGAGAAAAATAAAATTGGCCTCTCTGTGAAAGATGGAATGCTGCCAGGAGACAAAACAGCTCCCTTTTGCCAGGGAACTAGTCAGGATATTAGTATTACTGTACATCCCAGTAGGGGACAAACCCTCCTACAGCACACTATTGTCCAGATTAACCACCAGCACTACGTACAACAGCAACCTCCCACGCCGTTAATGACCAGATTCAGCCTTGCTTACTATCTGAAATCAGATAAGATCACGGGGCAAGGAAGTGACACTGCTTTAATTTATGATGAGGAAGGGTTCAGGAAATAATAAAAAAATCTAAAGACTTGGCTTCAATCCCAGATACACGAATCAATCCGCCATTTACAGTATGTTACATCCATTTTTTCTAGCTATTTTTTAGGAGGGACAATTGTTACCTTTGCATGTTACAGTAATGTTTTCCCATTGTCTGTCTGATGTACATATAGAGCTATTTTTTCCTTCCTGCTGGTACAATCCTTCTACGCATTTATAGTAAACTACACTTCCAAGTCCTGTCGTGTTGTCCCACTGCATGTATGTATGGGCTATGACTGGAGGGGGGCCACAGTTGATTTCTGCAAAAAAAAAATTGGTAGCTGAAAGTTAGTTGAACTTGGAGACTCTGTGAACCTTGTTTATAGAACAAGGAAATGACAGCACTTATTTAGCATTATAAAACAGTAAAGAGGCTTAAGTGTGGAATTGCATCAGGATGTCACCTACAAAGGTGCAAGTAGCACTTTTTTAAAAATTATTGCATAGTTTTGCATGATCTGTATAATATCATCACATTCCCTATTAACAAGCTCAATGGGTCAAATGTGTCTACTCTGTTGTTGAATTGTTGCCATTACAACACATTACCACATCTTCACCATTTTAAGTTTGGTTTAATTAGAAATCTGTACATGTTATAATTCTGTTACTGTTACTACTAAGCCTAATTGTTTTTGGTGTTGTGAATGATTTTTAAGGTAAAGTATAATTTGTCCTCATTGTACTGTATACAGCATAAAGACAACATCTGCATCTTACATTGCAATATAAAATGGTAATGGAGTTTTTATATTCCATTAAAGGCCCTTTTAAGACTACTTACCATATTTTCAGAGTGTAATAATGTAACTGCACTGCACAGGTAAAGTATTATTTCTGAAAATACTATTGAACGTATACCAGTTATCTTATTATTGAAGGTAGCTGAAACAGAGACCACACTGTTAGCCAGGAGCAGATCTGCCTGTGAAGTCTACAGAGCAAAGACAGAAATCCAGGTTTCTGCAGTCCTTGCAGAAATATTCCTCCCTTGTGATCTCTCATTTTGTTGAATTACAAATGTAGTTATGTTGTGAAAACTCAAAGGGAAAACGTCTGGATAAAAGAAGTTAAATGTCAGGAAAGCTGTTAAAAAAATAAAAACTGAATTGTTAACTCCCTCTGTGTCAATATTTGGTGGAAGCACCTTTGGCAGACATTCCACCTGTGAGTCTTTTTAGATAAGTCTCTACCAGCTTTGCACAAGGGTATAATTTTCATCCATAATATCAAGTTAAAAATGTACATACTGTACATTCTTGTAATTCACAAAATGAAGCATCATGGGAAAGGGATCAATACTTCTGTAAAGCACTGTGCAGTACGTGCTTAAAGAGGCAGAGGTTTAATTCTGTCTCACACTCTTGACCTTTCTTAGTAATGTGTCCTCTCAGTAATAAGTTGTACAGTATGTGCTGTATATTTGAACAGTTTCTCATCCAGCATATTTTATTTTGATAACAAGATAAACGTGAACTTCATTGATGAACCTGAAGTGCCACTTCAACTCCTTACCTCTTCCTTTTTCACTCTGGGAAAAACTAATTTGCTTCCAAATATCTGAAAAGACATCCACTACATAAAGAATGAAACAGTAAAACAACTAAATTACAGTAAAAAAAAACCCTATCAGTAGTGACAATTAATTATACCCTTAAATCATCCTGTTCTCTGAGGTACTGTAATTTGTGCCTTTAGGCTATTTTTTAAGTGACTACTTTTTTCTCATGAATCCTTTTTTAAATTTAGAATCACATTATTCCTCTTCTATACCAGTCAATTCTCATTCAGTAGTCTTAACCCAGAAGCTCCCTTGTAGTGGATATGGATTGCACAGTTTACAGAAGCAAAAGGCCTTGACTACGCTTTGCAAATGGGTAGAAACAGCAGTAGTTTCAGTCCTGAGTAACCATGGCACCAGGCCATCATTATTCTTATCGTGTGAATTTCTCCACTTTTTCAGGCTGTTACTTATTGTTCGCCTAATACATTAAGATCTACATTATCTGTTATACAGTATTTGTTTCCCAAAGGTCAGAAGTAAGACATTACATAACAGGAAAAGGTACAGTAAATGATTTAAATGAATCCTGTGACTGATAATTAAGCTTTGGTTCACTATTGTACAAACCACAAAAAATACTGATTTTACGAATGATCATGGTATAAGTATTACGGAACCAGAAGACAGTTATTCATTTTCACATTTACCAGCATTAAAATATATCTATGATTGCTGTCTTAGAAGTTACTTCATAACGTCTGTAAACTTGTGTAAACTGTACTGAAATATCATTCCTACTAAGGGATGAAAACAAAAGAAGAATGGAAAAAATGATATTACTGTAGGTCTCTACATGTCACTGAGAAGGGCTTTATGCTGTAGTACACAACACTTTTCTGGTCTGCCATGAGGTCTTCGAGTTACAGATGAATAACACTACTTAGAGTGGAGTGCGGGTATGTTAGGAATCTGGTTGTAGGAGAAACTTATACACACAAGTTAACTTAAACTTACTATATAGGAATATGAAGGAATATGGGTTCTTAAGATGCAAATCCAGGCAATGAGTGAGAATGACAGACTGAGACATGTTAAAACTGAAATTTACTCTATTGAATGTCATCATCAGGTCTTCTGTGTGTTCATAGAACAATGAATCCTCCCACATATATTTTCTTCTTGAAACCTTTTAAATGCTCCTATTACTGAGCCCTGGAAATGAGTCTAAACTATGATGGGCCTCTCTAAGGTGTACAGGAGTGGGCCCCGTTGACAAAGTCTGAAGGATCCCCATTCTGCATCTCTCAGAAATGTTCTGAACAAGAAATACAGAATGACTCACGAGTCAAAAGGAAACCCATCCTGTGAGAACAGGTTAGAAAAGTATACGGTAAATACCTTCACATATTAAAGAGACATTGTCCCAGCGATTGTTTTTAGTGCACAACGAAAAGTTCCTTCCTCCTGCATTGTAAAATCCTTGATCACATTCATAATGCACCACGCTGCCCAGTCCTGTGCTGCCGTTCCAAAGCATGCAAGCATGAGGCAGAACTGGAGGTGCGCCACAGTCAACCTCTAGGAAAGAAACCAGCACAACATTATCATTTCTCTTTGTACATCTCGATGAATAATAATAATCATCTAGAACAGTGGACCCCTGCCCTGGTCCTGGTGACCAGCACACCTGTTCGGTTTTGCTCTAGTCGAGCCCTCAGTTCCACAATCAAACCCTTCACTGACTTGATACTAACAAGAGGTCTTAAACATGTTGGAGCTCTATCCATTTACATTTTGGGTGAGAGAGTGAAATAAAATCCCAAACTTGTGACTGGAAACAAAATGCAAATACTCCAATGAAGCAACTTCCCAGCTCAAGCAGGGCTTCAATTATCTCATGAAGGTAATATGGACTGAAACCTGCGGGTGTGGGGGTCACCGGGACCAGCATGGGGAACCACTGATCTAGAACAGGAGTTCTTAGGAGAAGAGCAAACTTCTCCACCTCAGCTGAACTTGAACAGGTGTTTGTCAGATGAAATAATCAGCTCTCATCAGTTGTACTGAGAGTTCTGGTTATCCTATCCACTCCTTCCTAGATTTTGACAAGCTTCGCCTGCTTACCAAGAAATAACAGCTGGAGTTATTCAGCTCCACCTCACCCAAATCTCACCATATAATTAAGCTTGCTTGTCTAGTCCACAGATGCGTGATAAAAGAAAATTACTCAGCGGAAATGTTTTTTATTTTTCTGCGGAACACACTTCAGACCTGCGAAATTTCTTATTTAAAAAAATCCTTAAAATCCTTCTCTGTGGACTACATAATATTTTTACTAACAAGGAAATAATTAAGATAAAAATTCCATTACCTTTACATACTAAAGAGGCATTCTTCCAGTGACCAGTAAGAGTGCATGTTGAGATATTCAATCCCTCTGCTTTGTAAAATCCCTCTGTGCAGCTATAGTATACAGCACTGCCAGGTCCTCTGTCAGTGTCCCACTGTATAGTAGTATGTGGTAGAATTGGCGGATCACCACAGTCAATTTCTACAAAGGGGAAATTAGCATCATGCTTTCAATGTTCAGTATGAAAACAAGTCACAGACATATCAAGTGAGGCAAGAAGCACATTGCTTGCAGTATCTTTAGCTGAACACATTTCTGTTCTATATGTCTATGAATATAAATATGTCTGCATAAGTGGAACCGCATATGATTATGCCAACTACATTAGACTTGAAAGACCATAGATAGGATGTGTAAATGAATGTATGTGTATAATTTGTGTACAGAAATCTTAACATTGTTTGCATGTATACTGTAAACAAACGCAGTTCCTGAATATTAGATTGATAGACTGCTTTTACCATAGACACCAGTTTAAATAGTATAATGTGGTTTGTTGCAAGAAAGCAAACTCAAGACTGCTTGTCAGGTAACACTTCTTTTCACTGAACAAACATTAAATAATTAGAATGTTGCAAAGAACTTTTGCAATTTTCTTAAAGTTTATAGGTAGTTTCCTGATAACTTCTGCCCCGAGTACAATGAATGACTGCAGTCTGATTAATAGGCCATTTCCACATTTCCAGGACTTGGAGGAGATAATGGGCATTGTCTTATGTACTGAACATGATATGAACATGATAAAATTTATATGATTACTGAGTCTTTGTAGTAAAGCCCATAGACAACTTAAAAAATATCCGAACATCACAGTTCTTTTAGATTTTGGAATGTAACTTATCACATACTGTACTGTAGCATCACAACAATTAGCATATGTTGTTGATGTTGGCGAATTATGGGATCACTTCTCATGAATTGAACATAGAATGAGATTTTAAACCCTTTTTAAAATAGTAAATGTAGTAATGGATTGAAAATGAAAAATATTTGAATAAAATTTAAATCAAATGTTTGATAATATCTATACTTTGGAAATGTATCGGTATATAATTACTTTGACATATCAAACTTATTTAATAATTTATTCATGGCCAGATGGGTCTGTTGATTGAATAATTATTCTTCCAAAAAAGGTGGATTCCTTTCATGTGAAATGCCAGTGGTTAGGGAACTGTTCTTTATAGAAGATCTCTGTCTAGACAAAAATATTTGTTCTGATGAAGGCTTGTTTGCCAAAACTTTGACAAATCTTAAATAAAACCTTATTTTTCTGGAGTAAAGAGAGTGTACATCTGGTTGATTCTGCTATTTCCATCAATTTTTTTTTTCTAAAAGCACCTCTGTATCTTAGTTTTTGTGAAAATATGCCTTACAAAATGAGAAACATGATATACCTTTGCATACTATGGAAGCATTTTCCCACAGACCATTAACAGTACAAACTGAGACATTCCTTCCACCCATACTGTGAAATCCCTCTTTACAATTATAATACACAGTGCTGCCCAGTCCTGTGCTGCTGTTCCCCTCTATCACAGTATGTGGCAGCACAGGTGGTTGGCCACAGTCAATCTCTAGAAGAAAAACCAGAGAGTGTTTATCAGGATTATTACCAAAAGTCTGATACAACAGCTTGACACTGAAACCAGCACGTTCACACACAAAGATAAACACACTGAAAGACATGTAATGTAACAGTAGACACTATCATCAATATACAGTATCTTGCTTCCTTTACTTCAACCATTTATATACTTTGAAGGTTCAGCAGACATTTCTTAACATCGGTGCTATGTCATATAAACTCATAGTAATTGATCAAATTAAGTTAATTGATTTAATACACTGATTTTTATCACTAGTCCTTGTTATTGACTCCCAACTTTTGGCAAGAGAAAAAATAATCAATAGTTTTAATGCAGGTGAATACCTAAATAATGCACTGGGAGAACTAAATTACCACTAGGTTCAGTTTGTAATACAAGGGAACACACACTTCCGAATGTACTGTATACACAACACAACACTATACAGTGATAAGGTGAAACTGCACATGTTTTTAACAATCATTAGGTTCACCTAAAAAATAAATGTAGTGTGCTGTATTATGTTTTCTTCAGAATTAAGATTTATCTTAAAACCTCAAAGACCAAATTAAAAATAATGAGGAAGGATTTCAATATTGTTTAAAAAACTGGAAATGCATAATTAAATTCATAGACACTTTTTCTGAAACAGTTCCTTCCATCATCTGCGAGCTGCTGGTTATAGTCACAGTGGGAGCCTATACTGGTAGTTTAGACAGCACCCTCTTCTCATTAGTCTGCCGCCTGGCCATGGAGAAAGGGGACAGTAGACAACTCCTATTCAAGGGAACAAATAGGTTTATTCAATGCTGAAAAGAGAAGAAAGAAAACACAATGCCGAAACGTTGTGTTTTCTTTCTTCTCTTTTCAGCATGGAACAAACGTATTACTTGTTCCTTTGCAGCCTACATATGCTGCAGCTACCCACCTGCACTACTAACTCCTATTCAAGCTGGATAAGTTTGTCTTTGGGAGCAGCAGCAGGAGAAAATGCACTTGAACACAGGGGAACACTCAACTGCATGTAGACTGAATCCTGGTGCTGTGAGGCAGTAGTGCAAAACCCTTCGACACCATGCCACTTCTATAACCACTGGTGGTACACAATTCTGTTCAAAAACATACGCTACCTTTGCATTGTAATGATGCATTTGCCCAATAACCGCTGACAGTACAGACTGACGTGTTGCTTCCTCCTGCATTGTAAAACCCATCTTTACACTTGTAATAGACAATGCTTCCCATTTTTGTGCTGCTGGCCTTCAGAGAAGTAGTGTTTGGCAGCAAAGGGGGTTCTCCACAGTCCGTTTCTAAGTGGGAAATCAATACAGAATTGTCACGTGAGAATTGTCTTGTTTATAAACCTGTTCCCAGTTCATCTAACAAATGTGGAAAAAACAGTTCAGACTTTGTATCTGGTTTAGAATGTAGCAGAAATGTTGAATGAATCAACAGGTCCCAATTCTTTTGTTAATACTGACATTACCATATCATTAATGAGAACCTCGCTCTGCACCAATGTTTTTCCACAGCAATTTACCCTGTGAAATCACAAAAACATACATCACACCTGAATGCACTGAACTTCACATTATGTAGAAAGCTACTGGATCATTGATTTAATACAGATTTTTTTTTCCATATAGTTTTTAGTTAAAAGACCATTACAGTATGGTGCCATTTATGTATCACTTTGGGTTAACTAGAGGAAAAACTGAAAAAAAACCTTCAATCCTGTAACTACATGAACATGTCTTGTGGATAGAAAAGAGTAAATATAGCCAAATATAAAAATCAAAAATTAAAAGTTCAGATCCATGTCAGCTATATTTGGAAATGCTACATGATTTTCTGCAGCAATGAATATCAAATAACATCGACTCAATATCTGTCCTGAATCTGTGGACCTGTGGATGGATTTTCTCCTGTAGTCCCTGGGCTCTGTTACTCTTGGAGACTGTACTTCCTGATCTGCCAATCCTAAATCTCCCATGCTTTAGGCACTGAGTGTTGCTTCCAGAACCAGACACCTTTTCTTTGTTCTTCTGGAGGTTGTCTCTCTTCTCTTATCCCTTCCAGGATTATGGTTTTAAATTGTAGGTTTACCACTGGGGAGGTAATACAGGCAGGCCGTGCTCTCCAGTGGTGACATCTTCTGGTAGGCCGGTCGTTTGAAGGACTGCAGTAACAATGGGCTACATAGGCCATCAAGAGGGTTCTTTTAGTTGCAAATATGCTCATTGGGTGTCAATTACTTAAATATTTTACTCTTGAAGGGTGAAATTCCATATTCTCACAGTGGTGTAATTATTGAGGCTTTTCATAGTCTGTTAGTTGTAAAACTCACAAATAAAACCTACCATCTTTATTTATCCATACCGGGACATTCTTTTTGTATTTTAAATTGCTCAGCTGCTTTAGCAAGCTAAAGTGGTACTTTATTCCCGAGATGGGTCTTCACAAATAGCTGTCTTCTCCTTTCAGTATTTCACAGCATTCAAAACTAAGCACCTTTCCTGGGTAAAGCTTGAAGCTGGCTGTTAACTTGGTTAAGTGCAAGCACTTATTTGTATACCTCCCAGGGAGCTATACCCCTGTGGCTAATTATGCATGACTATTCTTCAAATGCCTCCACATCCTCACCACAACATGACAAAGCAAGGTAGTACAATAGTTTTGCAACATGTTTATTCAAGTCTTTCATTTGTCAAAACAGCATTCAATTTGTGTACTATATATGCAAATAACATTAAAGTTCTTTTCTAAAAAATGCTTGAAGAACACCTTTGGTTGAACCATAGATTGAAATTAACTATATCTTTACTTTTAGTGGCAAAACTATTTTAATGGGGACAGACATCCCTATATTCCTGTACTATTAATAGAGCAAAAACAAATAGAAGCCCTTGGATTTTCATATCTACTTATCATGATCAAAATCAATCAGTATACACACAAATATAGGGTAAGTCCAAAAAGGATGGAGTGCCTTACCAGAATGTCAGAACATTTACATTTAAAATCATTCCTTAATTGAACTCATTAAGCATAACAGGGAAATATTAAATATTAAATATGTTTTTCAACATTTGTTTGAAGTGTAACATTTTTTCAGGTCATTTTTAAAATACCCCATGAAACGTTTGCTGCATGACAGTTGTGAGAAGCTGAGGTGATGCCGAGATGAAGCGTGGAAAAACACAGGTAATGAAAGGAAGAAAGAGGTACATGAAGTATCGAAAAATAAAGCCATTACCTTTACACAGCAAAGAGACATGTGTCCAATAACCATTAGCTGTGCAAACAGAGACACCTCTTCCTCCCACACTGTGAAATCCCTCTGTACAATTATAATACACCTCACTGCCCAGCCCTGAGTTTCCATGCCACAGCCTTGTAGTGTTTGGCACCACTGGGGGTTCACTGCAATCAATCTCTATGGAAAAAATCAACACTGCGTTGTTATTCCCTGTTAAGGACATGGCTTTTCAAACCAGGTTTTCAATATTCTGAAACATATCCGTCAGTCAGAGAAAATGGAATCTCCAATTATTTTTGATTTTATACTAATCAAACATGGAATCAGAGATAGCTTACCATTGCAAACCCTGTACCAGACACAGGCTAATAAAGTCAACTGTGAACACTCAGTTAGCACCAATTGGAGAAATGGCAATCTCCGAATGGCATTGCTGAAAACTTGTAGATAGGTCCCATGCTTGTTATATGGGAAGGCAACGAAACCTTGGCCTACAATGCCCATGACCCTTGGTTAATTGTGTGTTGCTCACTTGGGGGAATCCCAGTCAAAATCTGAAAATGACTAACTGTAAACCAGGCTTGAGTCAGTAACTACTGGAATACAGCTCTAAAGTCACAAACACCTTTCGGAAATATCAGAATATGCCTATTGAACAAAATTAACCATTGCTACATAGTTTACCAAAATAGACTACAGTATGAGAGTTATTATTGTATTACCATGATGAAAGAAAGTCATAAGAAAGTAATTTATCAGGAACAAGGATTGGGGTTAAGTTGTGTTACCACTGAAGGTTAAATGGTGAAATACTTTGAGACTGTAGATTATTTGAGTTTTCATCAGAGTTTGTGGTACTGTATATGCCTACTGAAATAGTAATGTTTACAAACAGCATCCTCTATCAGAAGGCACAAGAGTTCTGCCTTTTTTATGTGAAGAATAAAAAAATAGGCAGTTAATTTCCTGCGGCATGTCACCAATTTGGGAACTTCAATAAGGGTTTTGAAAACATTAAATATCACCAAAAAATCATTACCTTTACATACTATAGAGGTATGGTTCCAATAACCGTTTAAGTCGCACACTGAAAAATTCCTTTCTCCTGCATTGTAAAATCCTTCGTCACATTCATAGTAAACCACACTGCCCAGTCTTGTGCTGCCGTTCCATAACTGAATTGCATGTGGCAGAACTGGAGGTTCACCACAGTCAATCTCTAGGAACAAAGCAATATGACACTTAGAACTGACACTTAGAATTTCAGCACAGAAACATCGATCATAGAAACATCGTCCTTTTGTCTAATGCAATTCACATCACAAATCGTATAACTTGGATAAGTTGTTGGAACAAAATGAAGAAGTATGACAAAATAATCATTACCTTTACATACTATAGAGGTATGGTTCCAATAACCATTGGTCGTGCAAGCTGAGGCATACCTTCCTCCTGCATTGTAAAATCCTTCAACACACTTATAATACACCATGCTTCCCAGTCTTGTACTGTTCCATACCATAGAAGTATGAGGCAGAATTGGGGGCTTGCCACAGTCAACCTCTATGAGTCAAAGAAATATGAAACTTAGCACAATTTCAACACATGGGAACTAACAAGTGGACACTGACCAACACATGTACTGTAAGAAGCTAGTGTACATGTGGCGTTTCCTTGGTTGGGTTTTTTAAAGCTTTCCTAAAGGATTTCCATCAACAAGGTTTCACAGTCAACATTTGTTCTTTTAATTATTTTATTTAATAAGAAAGAGCTTATCTACTGTAATAGCCTATCACAGCATTCATCAGCATCATCTATACGATTTACAAAACTGTCCGTTAATTTGATCACTCTATTCTTACTGATTGCTCATGGCTGGGCATGGCTGGGTCTACAGCACTCAACTGGCTACCGACTGAAGCTAAGCAGGCTTGAGCCAAGTCAGTACCTTGATGGGAGACCTCCTGGGAACCTATGATTGCTGCTGGAAGTGGTGTTATTGGGACCAGTGGGGGGCGCCCACCCTACAGACTGTGTGGGTCCTAATGCCCCAGTCGGGGACAGTATACTGTAGCAGGCACCGTCTTTCGGATGATCCTGACTCTCAGTGGTCATTAAAGTTCCCCTGGCATTTCTCGATAAGAGTAGGGTGTTATCCCGGTGTCTGGGCCAAATTCTCCCCCTCGGCCTTTCCCCTTGGCTTGAACTTGCCCTGCGATGGACTGGTGCCCTGTCCAGGGTGTACCCTGCCTTGTGTTCGTTGCTTGCCAGGTAGGCTCGGGCTTCCCGCAACACTGTATGGTATAAAGTGGTTTGGCAATTGACATGACATGACATGCTCATGGTTGGACACTCACAGCTAGCAAAACCTGCCATGAAGAACGAAGAAGGTTTGGTTGTTTGGAGGAGAGAATAGTATCTGCTTTTCGACTCTTGAGGATACGATGGACGTATCCTTAGTACTGCAGCAGAAATTGGCAAATCATGTGCTCACAAGGCCAGAAGTTAGTTGAAATATTCAGAGTAAAGGCTTGAAAATCAGATTACCTTTATCTTTTCTATCTATTTGTCTATCAAATATCTATTTGTTTTCAAATTGTGCAAATAAAAGCGCAGAATGCATAAAAAATAACAGACGACTGAAACCCTTGCACCAGAGTAACCCTTGCTTTTGATAAGTATAGCTTGAACCTGTAGATAAGAAATATGTATGTATTGTTTTTATTGAATATAAAGTTATGAGCTGTGAGGCAATGGAATCAGATGGAGCCACCGATCTTTGTTGCCACAATTTCACCTCAGGTTACAGAACAGAGCAGATATTTTAGATAGTGAGTTAAAGACTGACAGTACCATTAAGTCCACAATTCTAATTGCTTTTGACTGTTTATGTATTTGCATGCTGCAAACAATCATGGACACCTGAATCAGAACATTTGTTTCTGTGGCAGGTCGTCCTGTGGAAGATTTCCAAGGGCCTGCCATGGAAGGGGTGAGGGGATTTGGAAGGAGTGATCACTTCTGCCCATCGCAGTTGGAAAGGACCAACAAGCGGTTTGTCCTATGATTCACGAGGATTTCGGAGCAGTCACAGACCAGGGCATTTCTCTCACTGTGTGGTGCTATGGGAAAGAAGGGTCAAACAAGAGGCATGACTGTTTGTACACGTGACTCAGGTGTATTGCTGCAGACAGGGGCTGGCTGATCTGGCTACTGTGTCAGTTCAGACAGCCTCAAGCGCCTACAGGTCGTGATTGGCTACAAGGGGCTGCTGAACAGAAAAGATGAAAGGCTGGAGTGACAAGCCAGCCTAGAAAGGGGCTTCAATAACAGCACATCTGCCACTAGAGGCCACCAAAGCGCCTCTATGATCACTAGATGTTTCAGTGGGTGTCAATTTGTTAATTATTTACACTATTGGTGATGGGTTGAAGAGCACATTGTTATGTGGATTTAAGTATTGGTGTGTTTTGTATATACTGTATAAAGGGTGTGCAGTAGTTGGGTTGTGTGGAAGAAGCAGGCTAAATAGCCTATGGAAAAGTCTGCTAGTTGTAAAACTCTGCACTAAAGCCTCCCATACTTTGACAGCCATCATGGGTTGTTATGTGTACAGATCCCTAAAGAATGGTCGGGTGTATTGCAGGAGGCTTTACAATGCAGAAATCAGACTCTGGCCTGGGGCTATTGCCCCTGACCTGCCTTGAGGGAATTTTAAACAGGCACCTGCTGTTGTATGCGACACCTCAGAAATAGCTGAAAGGTGGGCTAACATCAGGAATAGTAGTTCAACTAGCTAACTGCGTCGGCATGCGTAGGCTGGAAAGGTTTAGTTTCTTTTCAGCATGGAATAAACCTTTACTTGTTGCTTTGCATCATCAGGAATAGCCACTGGACCATAAGTGAAATGCAGACTCTTAAACCTCCATTCATACTGATAACATGGTTGGACTCTGTACCATTGTTGTAATTCGGGGCGATGTGGGAAATACACCTTTAGTGTTCTCCAGGAAACGCCATTTTCGTTATAATTAAACTAAATTACTGGACTGTGTTGTGACTCCTTGCATCCCTACAACAACCTGTGAGAATACCACAGCGGCTGTACAGGGTATATCTTTATGGACAATCGTGAACATCTAGAGCAGTGCTTTCCAACACTGGGCTTCGGGGATCTAAGCCATTAGTTACTCATGTCAATTCACTCCTGTAATTTAATTGATCTCCCTATTTATCAACTATCTTCTTTTTTATCAGTTATTGCACTTAATCCTTTAATTCAAAACTACCCAACATATTATCCAAGAATATTGGTCTTAAATAGAAAGAGACCTTTATTCAACCATTAATCAGGATATATTAAAGAAGTTTCCATTCTAATTGACCAGGTGCAGGTGAAAGAAAAACAAAAACTGTAAGGAAAAATACAAAACTATGGGGGACTATATACTGTAGGACATTAATTAATGATAGTATCAATAGATTGTTTCACAATAATAATGATTATTCAGATAAAAAGGCAAAATATTGCTTACTTTTTAACTAAAAGGTGAGACATTCAATATCACTTTTTAAGGTTTAAAGCTAAATTCCCATGTAATATGTTTATAAACAGGCATTAATGAACATCTTTAAATTGGAAAAAAATATAATTGCCGTATATTAAACATGTTCGCACACAAAGAGTGAAAAATCCAGTTTAACAGAACTTTACAAAATATTTTGGACCATCTACAGTACATCTCCATAGAGATGTAGTTTACTGCATTAGCTCAGCAGACCTTTTCCCTGCTAAAACATATACTGTACAGTATAGACCATCTTAAATGTGAATGTGACACATGAAATCCCTGCAGCCGGTTTACCTTCACAGAAAGCACCGTCTTTAGCTGGATGAAACGGCTCTGTTCCGTTTCGTATTTTGTATCCTTCCGAGCAGTTGCAGCTGAAACTTCCTGGCACGTTCCAGCACAGCCCTCCGTCTTTACAAATGCCTTCCACCTGACATTCATCAATATCTGAAACAAAGACAGGAAGAACAAGTGAACAGCAGGCCACAGGATGCACTGTCCTCCAGCTTACAGTATATTATTCTCTTCTCATTCATTACTTAACCCAAGGCACACAGTCCCCCTTGAAAATACTCTTGGGCCTGTAAACAGAGCATCCAAGACCACAATTGTCTGGAGGAAAGTATGAAAGGTTGATGTTGATAAGGTTAACAGAGAGATCAGGGCAAATGTGTGTGTGTCAGTTAAGTGACTAGACACCACAAGCATGCAAGCTCCCATCTCATACTAGCACTACACTCTCATAGTGCCCCTCTGCAAAATCTCCAGCACCAGAAGCAAAACCATAACTTTATCCTTCTCAACAGACAGTTACTGAAGCCACCTGCTAATAATACTTCTTCTGCTGAAGATGTGGGTCATGTGAAACAGAGAAGATCACATCAAGGACAGAGGTGACCAGAACTACAGCCAAAGCTCATGCTTTAGGGCTTTGATGCCGAATCTCCCTACATTAAATAACATTTCAAATCCTTACTGAGCCTGAATCACCTTTGTTGCTGCATTCCTATAACCCAACCCAAGTGGATTGAGCACGTAGATGGTGATGGATAGTTTATTTTTCACTAGTGATGCTACAAGCCCCAGTAATTGATGGCATACATACTGTAGGTGGACTGCCTGCATCCTGCTGTTTACCAGTTGATAACAAATATTCATAACAAAAGCAGACATCTCACTTAACTTCTTTCTTCATGAACAAATTACCTTAGTTACCTGTTGCAATGTTTTACCATAAATGCTACAAACTAAATAAATGATTATGTTACAACAGTCAAAAACTCAATTTTCTAATGTACAAATCTTATTGTTTTTGAAGAAACATGAATACCTCTATTTGCAGCAAGGACATTCTCAAGATCTTTACTGGATCATCCCCTCTCACATACAGTGAATTTATTAGTCAGAGGTAGTACAAATCACTATTAGAAAGTCTGGGGTTTTCTTCCTCAACCATTTCTATTGTTAGGGAGTAACAGGTTCATAAACCCTATCCAGGCTCTTGTATATGGAACTGGGTGAAATGAAAGTCAGACTACAATCTGTTGATAGGGATGACCCCTTTCACCTAAGACTTGGATTTCTCCATATTGTCATAGATACATTGTGTTGAACTCAAGTTTTAAATTCTAAAATTGTACGACTGTCAATTACGTGACATTGTGCCATGCCTGTACGGCATTGCATATGAATACTTTTTGTTGATCAAAAAAGATCATTCTATCTGTCACGGATGTCGGAAAGGACGAACCGTGGAATGGCAGGATAGCGTAAAAGACCCTATGCGTAGCGGCGAGATGGGGGTTAGCCCGGGATCAGCTGTTCAGGAAATGCCGTATAGAAACCTATGCCCTCAGGTAGCGGACGTGGGGCGACCTGGTGCTAGGCGGGTTTCAGGACATCTGAACGTCAATGCTGAGCGAAGCAGAATAAGAGACCCGTAAATATATAGCCCCAGAGAGAGAGAGATACCGGAAGGAGAGACAAGCACAGGAAACAAGGGACAGGACAGAGTAGGAGCGCCCTCTGGCTGCAGAGGGCATGACACTGTCATGTTTAGTTTGTGTTATACACGAATTACTGTATTTTCAATACTTTGAAACTTTGGTTTACATTGAAGTGCAATGGTAAAATTGGGCTTTTAAGGTTGTTAATGTTTGAAATTGCATCTCTGTATGCTGACATACTGTAGGTTTCCAGAATATCCAAAGCAACCAAATAAGAGCATATACAACTCATTCTTTTCCATACTAAGCCACACACGCACAACAAAAAATTAAACAGTGTGTGGTGCATTTCAGTTGTAACATTCTACATTAATTTATTGCCCATGTGGGAAAATGTTTTTATAAACTGAAAACTTATTTATAAACTTCAAAACACCATTCTGTAGTAATAAAGTAAGTTGATTTTTTGCATGTTTTTCTTTTGATATACCTGTAATACCGTAGAAATCATTTTTCTTCTCACTAAGGTAATATGTACAGGTCCAAGCTTTTTCTTAGACAGTATAAGACACACTATGGTATATATGATCCATTTGTTATTGTTACCTTAATATATCCATTCAGAGACATCAGCAATGACAGGCAGTTACTGTATACAGTATATAACTGCTATATATACAGTATATAGACTGGTGTATATACTGTAACATTAAGTACAACTATACCTTGGCAAAAGGTTCCATCATTGGGAATGAACACAGGCATGTTGTTTGTAGGGCTGTAGCCATGCTGACACGTGCAGTAGAAGCTCCCATACGTGTTATGGCATACAGTGTGTTCGCCACAGATCTTGTGGGTTCCAATTTGGCATTCATCCTTATCTGTAAATACAAAACATCAGGTACAGTATGTGAACTAAGAGGACATCTAGAGATAGAACTGCCTTCCAGGGCAAATGTACTGATTGATGACAATATAACCATTAATCGTCACACAGCCCTAATATACCAGGATATTCTAGTTTGAGCCAGTATTTTAACATATCTTCCACTCTTGGTTGCCAACCCCTGTGGGACCCTAGATTTTGAGCTGGTGCCAAAACTGACTTTCTTAGTCAATATGTACCAATTGGAGATTCAAGGTGATACCAAGTAGTACCAGCATGCTTTCTTTCCGAATCATTCTGCCATTTCTATTAACACACCAGTCAGGTGCAGCAAAAATAATTGGATTGTTTCTCTCCTTTTTATTTGAGTAAAAAGTAATTTTCATTGTCATTATAACAGCTGTGTAAATACACACAATGTACTGTATATAGGAGTGCACAAAGCTATACTTATGAGATAGGGATCAATTTATGTTGATGGTCAGCAGGTAATTTCCATATCTGAGTCACTTCAACTAATTGGGTCGGATCCTGATTTCCTTGGTGTTGATTGGACTACAGATGGATGTAACTCTTCCCTCAAATGGGAACACAGATATTTACCTACAGCGATGATGGTGCCCACTTATACAACTGGGCTAAAGTACCTCATTCAAGCTACATTAGCAGTGTCTGCAGAGGGGAACCCATTTGAACCCACAACCCACCAGTTACGAGACCAGGGATTTATCCACTATGCTGCACTGTCAGAATGTTCATGCTAATGGAGATTAAATGTATTTCATTACTGACTTATACTTGTGCTCACCTACTGTTTTTGATTTACAGTAATACAGTAAACTCACACTTTCTCTGCAAAAGCTATTGTTTACTGTGCAGAACGTTTGCCTTATAGATGTTCTCTAGTTGGTTTTCAGTCATGCTAAAAACTGCATAGTGTGAGCATGAGAGAAGAGGAAGAAAGTCCCATCTTGTAGTTAGCAAGTTAATGTTTCATTTTATTTTCCCCAATACTTGTTCAATTAAAATGTTTTAAAAACCATTACACACAACTGACCTGGCTAAGACTTTTCTGAAGCAGAAAAGTTGCAAATGCTATCCTTTTTACTTTAGTGCAATTCAAACTGTTGAGGCTTATGGGTTTTACATTGCCATTTAAGTTTCTTAGTAAAAAGAGTACTGGACAGAAAAGATTCTTACCTATGCACTGTGTTCTTCCATTCCCCATAAAACCCCACAAGCAGTTGCACATTTTTCCACCAGTCCCATCTTTCCTGGGGTCACACGTGGCATTGATGTGGCAACTGCTGCATACATCCAGGGTGTCACTGGTTGCTACAGCTTCAGAAACAAGAAGAATGCTCTTCTTTATTTTGTTGTTTACGGTTTCTGTTCAGTTTGGTTCAAGGCCAATTAAATACACAGCTTCCATAGGATTTATGATTATGTAAAGTCAAATCAAGAGTAAACAGATTGAGACAAATGGTCTAGATTAGTGGCTCCCAAACTTGGTGTTGGACAAACATAGTTTGCTAGTTTTTGTTCCAGCTGAGTTCTCAATCACTGACTAATCGATTTTTGTTTTACTGTCTGAGGCATATTTGTAAATTTGCTTTGAGCTCTTCAAATTTATATGGGGTTTGCAATTGGCATTAACCCTGTACCAATTTCTAGTTTCTGAACAGATCTCATTTTGGCTCGTTGCCTGAAATGAAACTAATTAGACCTCTGTTGTCAGCCCTGGTCTTGGGAGTTTTTAATGCAGCTGAGCGGTTTCCTTAAATTTAGTTTAAAAATTCACATGTTACTTGGTTGGAACCTTTACAAGTTTTCTTTACTCAGAGATTGGAGATATTAAAGTACAGTACTTATGAAATGCAATTGTTAAAAGACAACCTTCAACAAGTTTAGGATCTGAAAATAATTAAATAGTTCATATTAAGGTTCATTATCAAATAGTTAATTTTTTGGTCTATTCAGATTTCAATTATTTAACTGGGTGCTGAAGTCGAACAAATACCTGCATGTGTTCAGGTCCCCAGGACTATGACTGGGAACCGCTACAGAAGAACTGAAAGTCTACTGTAGGACTGTTTGATTCAGTGACATTTCCTATATTTCTTCACTATGAATTGATCACCTAGAAAGAGCTGTTTAGTCAGAAATAATGTTTTTTTATAAGAAATAAAATCGAAATAAATTAGCAATAAATGAATACGGAATATATAACAACATATTGTCACACTCAAAAGAATTCTGTATCAAGTTGATAAAAAATTATGTATTGATGTATTGATATAACTATTACACGGGAAGTTTAGGAGCCTTACAAGGAATTTCCATAAAATTGCCATTTACAGTAATATTTTAATATGGATCTCCATAGAGCAGACATAAAAACTCCACAATCATGATGCCACAACAAATTAAATTGAAGTCATATTTGACTCTTTCTGAATGGATTATGTGGGTATTTCACTTTTTAACAGTTTGCTACATTAATGTCACGTTTTCAGATTTTTATTTGAAAAACCTGAAATGTCAAATGTTTTGAAAAGGTTTTAAGCTTAGAATGGCAAAATGCTTCATTTTACTTGCAAATTTCAAAACCTTACTTTCCACGTTAAGCTAAGCCTGTGTTACGTAATACATTTTCTTTTTGGGCAGTGCTTGGGCATTTGAAGTTATCTACCAGAAAAAAACTTAAACTAGAAAATGCACTCCTTGGCTAACACTGCATTACTTTATTGTCCATGTGCTAACTATTGCTGTATCATGGTGAGATTTCCTTCATGGTGTTATTTTTCTCATCAAGTCTGAAATTAAATTAAAATAAGAAAGACCAGACTACATCTCAACAGAGAATGCAATATAAATGGTAAAAAGAAAAAAAACATATTTTGGTATGTATTTTCCAATTCAAATCTACAGCATCAAAAATGGATCAATACATGAATTGTACAAGTTCGCAATAATATCAGTTTCGGCTGGATGCCGAGATGTAGAGTAATGTAGGACTCACCGTCATAGATCTGTAGTTGAAGACAAGTGAGGAATAGTACAAAGGCAGTTGACAACATTGCAATTCTCCTGAGTGACATGATCAGACTCATCTCTTGACTTCTTTCAGCTTCTCTTGCAGGAAGACTCTTCCTTTTATCCACATCTCACCCCCTTTCCTGTCTGTAGACTCCTTGCCCCTGTCTAGCTTTGATAACCAGGATTGGGAACAGGCTGCCCACAGGTAGCTCCAGCAAACCGAAGTCCACGTCCTCTTGAAGAAAGTGCCAGTAATAAGTGGCTTTCGGGGGAAGTCGAAAACTTGCAGGTCAGAGGCACAGTATGCGTTGACACTTTCTAACTTCAGTGCTGCATGTGCACTCCCCCTCAACCCCCTCAGAAACTTCTGAGGTCACATCCACATGCGTAAACTGCATTTGTATGTTCTGATAAGAACTGATAAAGAGTTATATTTGGTCTGTCTGAGTGTGAAACATTTGCCTCTGCCTGTATATACTGTAGCTCAAGTAGGGAGCTGTGTCAGCATGCGTAGGCTGCAAAGGAACAAGTAATAGGTTTATTCCATGCTGAAAAGAAGAAAACTTTTCAGCTGTGGAGCCTTCTCCGGATGTCTCACACATCCAAAGAAGGCTCCACAGCCAAAATGTTGTTTCTTTTCTTCTCTTTTCAGCATGAAATAAACCTTTTGTTGTTACTTTGCAATATATACTGTAAGCCAGAATTCCATTTTTAACACTGAAGATTTCTTTTATGAACATTACGTATTTAATTTAATGAATGCACATCTAAGGGCATGCATCCGTGATTAGTAAATGCTTTAATGCCTATGTACAGTACTTAGTCTTTTGCAATTCTTCCAACTATTAATTGCTAATACACATTTAGCTAAGTGAGCTAAGGTAACTACAATATAAATGCTAACCTTAAAGAATACCATACTTTAATGCAATCTATTTAGTGAAAAACACCATGACAACGATTAATGCAAAGCTCGTTTTTTTATTCAGCTTTGAAAACACTTAAAAAGTAGAACCATAATCTCTGAAACAAAAAGTGACTTATTTCCTCTGTGAAGTCCTGAGGAATCTTTTAGATTGCAGTATTCTATGTATTTATTGAATAACAGACATGCTCTGTACTGTATATAGACTGTAAAAGAAATTGTTTTTTGCACAAGGTTTAAATGATTTAAAAATTGTGTGTGAAAATTGCACACAAATTCCTTCTTTTACTTCGTAGAAAAGTTATTTTTAACAGTTTTAAATGTGTAAAACCCAATTCAGCCTCCTCTGAGACTGATAACTTTTACAGTACATGTATACACACATTTTCTCACTGACTACAACGTTAGGAAATCCCAGCTATGACATGTTGAGCCAGTGCAAGCGTGAATAGGAAATGCCACCTATTTCAAATTCTTAAAAATGTGCAGGTCAGTTGCAACCCTTTCTTCCAAAATTTGATTCACCCAAGACTATGGAATTGAAGCGCTCCCTACAGCATTTTCACCAGCTTTCAGTAGGATTGAAACCAGTAGGTGTTCTGGTAAAGTGATGGACGTTCAGCTCACGCTCCTGAAGCCAACGAATCCAATTAGCTGGAGGTCTTAATGTTTTGGGCAGTGAATTATTATATATTTATTATCAACTGAAAGAAACATCTATTTATGTAATGTAAAGTGGTGGTTCTTCCTGATTGGCAGGCAAGTGAAGGTTCATTAAAAGTTTACTAAGATCGGCCTTTGTAGATCAGAGATTAGAACATTTTCACTGGGACAGCTCAAACGTCAGATATTTCTCGGGGAATAAAGCCCATCTGTTCTGGTAAAATGTAAGATGTATGATCTAACATTAATATCTCGAGGAGAAACTGACTTTCCTTCCTCAGAGCTACACTTAACACTGGTGTTCTAAATCCAGGACACCTCATGCAGGGATTCCTGTGAACAACTTCCTTGTTAATTTTGCCATACGACTCTGAAGGTCTCAGATAACCTTAGAAGGAAACACAGCTCACCTTGTCATTGTATGTTAGAAAAAAAACAAAGTAGACAAAACTTAGATATTAAATGTGTTTGATATAATATTGATAAATTCACCTTTGAGTTGTGACTGACTGACAGGCACTAATGAAAATCAAGAAAGAAAACCAAGCAGACAAACACACCCTTATTTATCAAGAGAGCAATGACTTGGTGCCACTGGTAGGCTGGAGCCTGGACTAAGCTATCACAGGTGGACGTGCCAGCAGCGGAGCCAAGTTCTTTTCGGTGATGGAGGTTTTCTGTAGACCGCCACGATAGATATCAGCAACCGTGGTGATTACATGTACAATTATACCCAAACTGAACACTTAACAGTGGGTCCAACTGAGATTATTGGGACAGGAGCCATTCCAGAACTTCATTTGCAGTGATCAATGCTTTCCTGACTGAATAGTGTTGGCAGTCTTGAGAGCTCACAAAGTACCAGCAAGATAACTTCTTTACACTGCATGTTCAACAGTGGCTTTCTTGCGAGATGAGAATGCAGCCGTTTTGCTGTGGATGCCCTGCTTTCTAACCTTCTTGGGCTCAGCTAGGATGATATGTCCAGCCTAGGGCACAGAGATCAGGAAACAATTGATTCTTTTTATCAGGCAGTTTCAATGGTCATATTTCAGGACTTTTAAAATAGATCAAAAATCCAGAAATCATTAGCTTTTGGTATATTTACACATAAGAAAAGAAAATACCTAAATCCAAACTGAGTGATTACTCTTTGCAATATTATATGACCAGGAATATCTATTTCCATTAAAAAGGCACAGTCAGAATTAGTGACAGTCACAAGGTGGTCTTTATCCCTGTGTGGGGGAATAAGATAGCAGCAGAAATTTATCACCCTGTTTACAAGATGTCGGGTAACACACCCACTGTCACTCCTACAAAGCTCCCACACTTTATTTTAACCAGGAGATATGCTGTGAAGGCGAGATAAGGAACAAACTGCCAATCAAAGTGAGTAGTACCCTTCAGTATGAAATTAGCAACTGCATCTGGACCTGCGCCAGAAGGTAACATAAAACACCATATTACGGGCTGATATAAGTCACTGTGCACTACTATTACTGAAACACTGCATGTATAACTTAACATGTGTGCCATAAAGCTTGTGTATGTGCCTGGCCCTACACTGTAGAAATGAGAATACTGAAGTTTAACAAATCACTAAATTTTTGTAAGGGGAATACTGGAATAATCAAAATCAACAGGACCTGAAAGTTCTCTTTCTTGTAATTACATAAATAGCAGATTCAAAACCTGCTGATGAATGGCATCTGTATTTGTGTGATAATATTTTGTTCTAAAATTGTACTGTCTGTATTTGTCATTATAAGTTACTATTAAGTTGTATTACGCACATTTATTCCTAGGTATTGTATATTTGACCTAAAAGAACACACATTATTGCATGAAAATTAAACTGCATTTCTTGCGCAATTCCATAAAATAATTACGATCAACATGCATCAATGTTTAGTTATAGGAAGGATACGAATAAGAGGATGTCCTTTAATTTACTTGCTTTTAAAAATTATACTGAAATAAATGGATATCTCAATGGCAATAAATTACAAAGAAACAATGTGTGCATCTTTTTATAGATTGAAATGACTGAAATTCCTGAAAGAAAAAATAAAGTGTCACTGTACAATAGTGACAAATGAAGAACTTGGATCTATATTCAAAGTAAGTGTTCTGTGTAAAAACAATTGGCAGATTGATAAAACAAATATAGTCACCTTATTAACCTTATCGAATATTGTTAGTTATCAGCCCAGACAAGAGAGGTGGATTATTCAATATCAATAACGGTGTAAAAAAACCTTTCAACAGCGGAAAGGTATTATTAAAGAATTCACATCCACTCTCAGAGGTAATGATTAAAACATTTCTGCCAAAACAGTTCAGCAAGGAGGCCTTTGCTCTTTGGCAAGTCCAGTTGCTGAAAACTGACGCCTATTTTAAAATTACACAAAAGCCCCGGCTGTTACAAAAAATAATTTCCCAGCTCGGATTAAATAACATCTCAAATAATAAATCTGAGACAACAGAAGTAAAACAACAAGCTGCTGAATGAAATCTGTGGTACTGTCACCAGCACAGTCAAAACAAAACATACCTAAAAGGGTTTGACTTTGCAATGGACACAGGTGGGTTCAGCTGCCGAATACGGCACGATAGAAAAAGTGCCTTTAGGAAAATTACAGGGTGAGAGCGGTCTCCCGAAATATTGCAGATAAGAGAAACATTTAGGTACAAAGAGCTCTGCTGTTGCATTTCATGTACACAAATAGATTTGTCATAATACAGTAGGGCTATAGGGGTTTTAAGGCTTAAACAGGAAAAGGAGAAGAAAAGGCTACGAAAAGAAGACAGGGAGGTTTTACAAAAGACAATGAAATCCAAGGAAAAAAAGACAAGAGACACAAGAGGACTGAGGAAAGTACAGATGTAATGACATTTATTCAAGGCATGCTACAATTAAAGTTGGTTAGGAAAAAAAGCAGAGAATCTTGAGTAATAATAATAGGCAATACAAAACATAAAAGAAATGGTTTGTACAAAATACAGAAACTCCACTCAACCATGCACTGCGCAATTAGAAAATATGTTTCTTTAATATTTCATCTTCTATTTGCATCTTATTACATAAACTCAACAGAAATGGAGTCCACCCCCCGGCAATGTCACACAAACTGCTTTACAAATGAAAGCTGGTACTGTTGCTTTATCAAAATATACAAGACAATTGATGTTTATCTTTCCATAATTTAAAATATAAAAACCAGTTTCGCATTTATGCTTTTAATCTTGTTCCCAAAACCCCTTTTTTTGGCCAGATTCCCCCCCCAAAAAGAAAATATTTACAACGTTTTGTTTCCTTTTTGTCGAAAACATTCAAATAAATGGAACAACACAGGGAATTTCAAAGCTCACAACCAAATGAAGAAAGTCTGAATGTGCTCATGTCCCTAAAGACAGTTCGAGTTCCCTGTGCCTCTGCCATGAAAGCTGGGACTCAACTATTCATCCTACACCATCTTGAATGCAGAAAGTAGAGTGCTTGTTAAACATTACACTGAAATCAACATCGGTAAAGTTACCACTTAATATAAAAATTATGTTAGTGAATCACCCTGCACTGTTTTTGTCAGATATATGCATTGTAAATCGCTCTACTGAAATGCGGTTAATAAAATCAAAATGAATGTAAGGTCTACTCACGAATATACACCTAATAAACAAATCACAAAATGTTCCTTTGGTTTCAATATATTAGTATAATCTAACTTTTGTAACAAAAAAATACTTTAAAGCTTTTTGCATTTGACTGTAAACTTTTTGGAATTGTAACATTATTGCAGCAACAGACACAAAAATGACAATCTCAAGTAGCTATTTTTTTTTACATGCCAAATTACAAGTTACAACTACAATCACTCACATATTCAAGGAACTAATTTCAACTTTCTTCACAAACTACTGGGCAGGAAGGGTTGGCAAGTTCAACTGACATGCAGTGTCAGTGCAGGTGAAGCATTTAAGCATTCCCCCTATTGTGGTAGTAAGATCAACAAAGCTGGAAGTACAAAAGGGCCGTTTTCTCCATATCTAATGTCTGTGAGAAAGACTGTCATTAGGAAATTGTAAATTACAACTTTTGCTGTTTGTACTAGGAGACAATTTTGATTCCGTTTGCACTGAGCCACCTGAAACCTGAATTGTGGTCTATTCTGAGGCAAGTAGCTTGATATGGTGTCTTCCTCCTATTCGGCAGAGGAAGGCTGTTTCAAAGCTTGTGGGACAGCAGAGGCACTGAGATCAAGAACTGTTTATTACATAAACTGAAAGAATGAGAAACAATCCAAAAATACTCTGGATTTTTTTTCTTCTTTGAGGGATAACGGACTTCAAATAATTATAACATTCTAATTTAAAACCGTAAGTACTATTTCTGCTCGACTTGATAGCAAGGAAGGAGGAAACACGTTACAAATAAGATTAATAAAAGGCACATAAACTTTGGTCCTGTTTTTTTTCAGTATAAAACCCTTAAATAAAACAATTTACTGTGTTGATTTTGTTTTAAAAAAAATCCAGGCCAAACTGCTTTGTCCTGGTTTAAGACAAGATCTGAGACAACCTATCGGACAGATCCAAGAATGTTACAGTCTTGTATGTGAAAGTCCAAAGAAATTCTAAGAAAGTGAAGATGGAACAAGTTAGCACAACAGTCGGACATCTTTGTCTGTAGTAGGGTTTGGAGACTGGCTTTTTCTCCTCTTTAAAAGAAGTCTTAACAAGGCAAAGAGATTTCAGAGATTTCTTTTTTAAAATGCAGGAGAATGAACAACAGGTGATTTAATGGAGATGCCTATCTTAAAATATGCTTTCCCTAGTCTATGCATTAATACTAACTGCGGGAGCTAACCAGTGAAAGGTTGGTGATAAGGCAAGACTCCCTTTTAGATGCAGGAAAATAAAACATGAACTCGAAACGCCTGTGATGAGGCAGAGTGGCAGACAGCAGCCTTAGCCAATTTCACATCCTCTTTAAAACAAAAAACAAATGGGAATCTACATCACACTGCAGATCAAAACAGGCAAAAAAAAAACACGAAATGAGTAACATAAGATACAGTAAATAACATTACAAACCCAAAAGCACACAGATGAGAAATAACAGACAGCTAGCTCCACTCAAACGGCAAAACTTAGGGACACCTGAAACCCAGCGCATGTTGTAGGCTTCTTAAGAAAAACATCAGTTGGTAGCAAGGTCTTGCTTGAGGCTTTCCGATTTAGCAGCAGGTTGTATAAATAGAACGAACGTTTTAGACTCTTGAGCGCAATATGTTTATAAACATTCAATAAGAAACTAAAGTGTTTGCACAGTACTAACAGCATTTCAGTTCTCAAGGACTGGTATTGCACAGTACATACCCAGAACGCTGTCATTTCTAACCGTAATGTTTAATCGCTGAGCAGGGGGATTGTGTGCAACTGCGAAGTTTCTCTGACCACCTTGCTGTACTAAAAAAGCAAACCATATTCATGTCAAACTGGTAAAAAGGGAACCTCCAACATTGGCCTCATTTAAAATTCAACTGGATAGGGGCCAGAGTCAAATGTTAAGGCAAACAATATTAAATACGACTGTTTCAAAAGACTACAGAAAAAAATCTTATGAGTGCAGTACCTGCAAAATATTCCAATAGGATGGATAATGCAGACATTTTTATTTAGTTCATGTAACACAAAAGAAAATTAATAAGCATTGTGTCATGTCCAAAAACATTAACAGTATTATCTGAGTGGTTGAACTTCAAGCACATGATAATTTCACTGTTTAAGTTGTCTCTATAGGCTGTCTATTTGTATATTAAAATGGGCTTCTATTCTCCCAGCTGCTCTCAGTTAAAAACCAAGAGATAAAAAGAAATCTGCTCTACAGGGCCAATGTTACCTCTGTAAAAACTTACTTACTCAACACTTTCCTTTTCAAATAACTAAATTAGAATTACTATAAATTTAAAAGTGAATCATATATGCACCAATCACCATATCACAATCACTGTGGTAATAATCATTTAAATGTAATCGTACAAAAAGCAGTGTTTTCCTCCAGTCTTCACAGCTCCTTATGCCACTTTCAAACAGAAATGATGCTATTTCAAGAGTCTGAAAGTACAAATGAGTTGAAAGTAAAATTTCTTCTAAAAGGTTTAGATTTAAACCTTAAATTTAAGATTAAGTACTTAATTAAGTTTTTGTTTTATAAATAAAAAATCATTGTTGGAACGCCATTCCAGATCAGTTAAAAACCACTGCTTTCAAAGCAGCTACAACTTTCTGATACAGTATTCAAATTGGATCCTGTATAGACTCTTCATCCAAAATGTTTACATTTCATAGACTGGTCTTAACACCAGGGAGGAAACAGCTCAGGTCACTCTCAGAACAGCCAGAAAGAAAAGGGGACAATTCAGCCTATGGTGCTCACTGGGCATCTTTCATTCTAGTCCCAGGGCCAGTACTGGATTCTATGGGAACACACTCCCGGCACAAGTACGAAATCTTAAAAATCCCACGGGAGAGGCGCAATTCAACTAGCTAGTTGTCTTTGCGAGGTGGGAAAAAAAATGGAGCACTCAGCAAAAATGCAGAGGAAACATGCGAACTCCACACAAACAGGGGTTCCTAAGCTGGGGTTGAACACGGGACCCTGGAGCTGGGAGACAACGGAGGTTAACCCCCACACCACCAGGCTGAAAAGCGTGTGTGAAAGAGACAAAGCCTCAAACACCATTCTCCTCTATTTCATGGACAGGTTTTCCCCCACCATCCTTTCTTCTAAACCTTCTTGGTTGATAAATACGTGAGTACTGTATATAGGACATAAGGGGTTGGGCTTCCATTGTCCATGTTACACCCATCAACAGTTAACTTAAAGATTCATCCCTTGAAAATTACAAATAAAATACCACAAGTTCCAATTCCACATATAATGAAATCTAATTATGAACCAAACAGAAAGTTATCTGCCTTGGATCCTGAGACTTAAAAAAAAAAAGTCTTGAATAGCCTTGAGAGAGCACTAAAATCCGAGAGCTAATGTGAAAAATTCGCAACTAAACGACCAGCAGCCAGACAATGTTACAACGGTCACAAAGTGGTGGAAAAGCTGTGCGCCTTCTGAAAGTTTCCTTGAGCAGAACTCAATATGCAAACAGTGCGAAAGCAAGTTCTGTGGTTGCCAGACCTGCTGCTGTGAGGGAAAACTGTACTAAGAATAAGGTTGCAATTGCTGCTATTTGTCATAAACTCTTTCAGACATCATTGCTGTTGGAGTACAACAAAACAGCCTTTTTTAAAGCCATTTCCTTTTAAAATACCAATCTGAGATGAAGAAAACTGCACTTTGCAATCTCAGCTGTGTATTTTCAGTGCAAAAGGACAAAAAATGAATTGGCCTCGCTGAAACATACAGGATTGAGATTTCATTAGCCTAAACAAACCATACATAATTTTCTTATTTTAAGCGTTGTCTTCATTAATTTAAAAAGTTCCAATAAGAAGTAAAATCTGGAAATTCATTAAAAATTCCAAGTCCACAAAGAATTCAATCCTGGCAAGAAGGTTGGCTATCCAGCCTTGTGAAAACGTGTTCCATAAATGAATCTAGATAACACGGTTTCATACAATATTAACCAACTGTCTTTGTACCTCTTCCATCAAAGCCCTGTACAAAGTTACAGGTTAATTCATCTCCTTTCCTATGGAACTGGAAGTGCCACTTTAACTTTGGAACTGCATTTTTTACTTTTACAACCTCGGATGTGTTGGTTCCTTGTGTAGCCTGCGCTACAAGGAGGGAATCGCTCATGGACACTGCTGCAGTAAATTTCAAAACAAGCGGAGCACAGTTAAGGAGAAACTAAAAAAAAAAAGAAACTGGCATATTCTGCGCTTCTTTCAGTCCATGAAGCAGCCATGACCTGACGAATCAGTCTTGTACAGTGTCATTTCAGAGATTCTCCAAGCATTCGGGAAAATACAGTATGTCATTGGAACAGTTTCAGTAAATAGAGAATGCACCTGTAAGAAATTAGTGAGGGACCAAATATTTTCTAAGAACAATATTTTCTTTGAATCTGTACACTTCTTGTAAACAAAAGGGAGCGCTGTTACAATTCAGCCTTCATCCACAAGGAACATTGTTCCCATGATTTCTCCAACACCTTGCTAGGACAGATGCAGTTGATCCCATTTTGGAATGCTTATTGATCTTAAAGCAGCTGGAGGAAAAACAACTGGGAAAAGAGGAGACACAAACTAAAAAAAACAGCAACTTCAGGCCCTGGTGCACAGCTACACAAACATCACACCGACACACAAAGCATGACATTTCGATTACACATTAACAAAACATTCACAAGGCTCCTGACTGTCAAAGACAGCTGCATTCTTCCGGTCAAAAGAGTAGGCGCAAATCTACAAGTGTTACGGAATGAAGCCTTCTAATACACAGAATTTTTTTTTTCCAGCATCCAAAAACTGATTGTAAAGGTTTCAGATCAAAACTCTTTTTCTTTCTTGGACTACATAAGGGTAAGAAGCCTACATCACACGCCTTACACTTCACTTAAATTTAATTTCTCTAGTAGGTGGATTTAGAGCACCAAAAATAAACTGCCTTTCCCAATTTCCAAAGACCATTTAGTAATGAAACCCCCAAATATACACACACATCTAAAATAACCCTACAAGACAACAGAAAATAAAGTCAAATAAACCAACCCTCTCACCAATCCCACAAAATAGTACATAAGATATCTTAGGTAAAACTTCTAAACCTATTGTTTGATTATGCGCACGTAATAAGGCACGTAATAAGAAATTAAGTAAATACATAGTAAATGTGATTTGTTTTCCATGATTTCTTGAGTGATTATAGTGGTACAAAAACCCCATGAGGTTTCAGATGTTTTCTCTTTTCTGTAAAAAAGAACAAATTACCAAAAATAAGTAACTTTTTTTAAAAATCTTGACAATCCTTAAGATACATAGACCTGAATAGTTTTGTTTCATTTAAGACTGTAAACTTTTTCAGATTTTCTTTTCAGGAAAAAAGCGCTCACTCTTGTTTCATTTCAGAAAAGTTTCGTTTTTGAAAGAGACAGCGTCCCTCGCCTTGCTTTCGATTAATATATATATGCGTTTTTTTCCGGGGGATCAAACCGGCACAACATTAGCTGACGTCAGGGTGAAACTCTGTCGAGTTCCTCTCCCTTTATGCTACTGGGATGGATGAAAATAACCCTCCTTGGAATGTTAAGGCTACAACTAAGCTGCCTGACACAGGACCATGCAGGCACAGCAAAGACGGTGCTTTTGGTTCCATCCTTTTCCAACAGGATTTATCAACAAATCCCAAACTGGGATGAGTGGTCTGGCCAGAGCTTCACCCGTTCATTAAATTCCCATCACTCACTGCAATGCTTGGTCTGGTGAGAGAGTCCTACAGTCTCACACAGGCTTGTGTAACTGCAAGGCAAAAGGGACAACCACTTTGCTCTTCACGAGCTGGATCCCAGAATGGAACAAAAAGGACTGAAAAGGGCTGGAGCAAGACTGAAAGCCAGGACAAGGCGTAAGTACTCAGAGCTTGCTTTTGACATCTGGAAATCATAGGATAGTCAAAAAATTCATTAGGTAAAAGGATAAAATAAAAGGACAGCTTCCCATCTATATACAGTTTTCAGGAGATATGTTTTCACATTCATTTGTTGCATTTGAGACAGCCATGCTCTGCAGAACTGGAGACTGGATGAGACAGGAGTGTTAGAGAAAGGTCACTACTGGCCTTGTATCTCAGCATTGTCTTGAAGATGATTTGTAGTTTCCATTGTAGGTCCAGAGGAAAAAAAACTCCTCATGTCTGTAATTCTGTCCTTTGATGGGGGTATTACGTGGAATGGGTGGTGGAAGTAAAGTCATCTTTGTTTAGAAACCCCCTGTGCAGAAGCAAATAAAACATGTTCTATACTACCAGTTATTCACAGACGCCTATCACTTATGGAAAAGCCTTTGCACAGTAACTGGAGCTATTAAGGTGCAAGAATCCCTCCTCCCCATTCTGTAAAGCTTGCTTAAAAGAAAGCAAGAAAAATAAAGGAGAACCGGCTTGTTGTGCAGGTTTGATTTGTGCACCCCATCGGCAAACAGCCTGGATTTCGCTATACAATGACTCTCACTAAAAGGATGCTGTCTCTTTGAGCAGTCCTGGAACACAGTAGGGGTTGCAGCTGCTTGTTCAGACTCATAAGGGTAATGTTCTGACAGCCGGCCGAGTGGGAGTTCTACTCAAACGCTGAGAACAGGACTGCAAGCTTGCCGATAAATCCCCAAGTCCTGCTACTCCATCTGCATCAGAACAACGAGGCATCGCTCACTCGCAGACTGCAACAATTACCCAGCGGCACCGCTAGGCTCTGAATGCTTCAGTCTCTGTCTGAAGGCTTCTTTTAGTTCGTCTTCCTTTCATTTAAAGTTTTTGAATCTGATTATCTGCACTTATCAAGTCCATTCATTGTTTTCGATCACTCGAGTTAAAAAATCTGGTGGCTGAGTCTTTTGGGGGGCAGTTCCCAGCGAGCCATTAGATTGTAGACTTGGAGAAAGACACTCTGAGATGGTGGTTCTCTCCTAGGTCATGATTGTGAAGGTCGATGAGTGCCTGGATGGCCTCTTCCACAGAACCCAGCTGGATTAAGGCCATCTTCCGGTCTTTCCTGCAAAACACAGGTAATCCATCAGAGCGCGGCTTACGAAAACAAAACCACATGCTGTACAAATCCACAAGTGCAGCATGTTAACCTCTCCTTGACTCTATCAAACAATCTGTGCATTCCTAATAAAGCAGTCAACTAGAGTCTTAACTGACAGATTCCATGCAACTAGAAATACAATGAGTAATACACAGTACCTCATTATCAGTATGCGTTACAGATTAAGACTGCAGTGTTTAAAGCACGTAGAACTCCACTTAAAACTAACTGACTGCATATTAAACACACTCAGGATTCCTCTCTAACTACAAAAAAAACCTTAATTATTAATACACAATGAATTCAAACAGAACCTTCTAGGAACAAAAATCAACTATTTTGCATTATGACAGAAATGTAAAACAAATAGAATAAGCCTTAACACTGTGGTAACCCCCCCCACCCGCCGGTTTTCATTTCATCCCTCCTTCATGAGATAACTGAAGCCTTAACTTTAAGTTGCTTCACTGGAATATTTGCGTTTTGCTTCTAGCCACAAGGTTGTGATTTTATCTCAATTAGAAATGACAATGGTTAAAGCACCAACATGTTTAAGAGCTGGGAACGAACAGTTCAAATTAACCTTATTATTAAGTCAATGAAGGGTTTGACTGTGTAACTGAGGGCTCCGTAAAACAACAGTCAACAGGTGTGTGGGTCATCAGGACCAGGATTGGGAACCTGTGTCTTAACAGTTTAGCTAACTGATGAATAGATGGTCTGTATTAAGTTATCTCCTCCACCTGCTGGCGGAGTTTATGTATTGCAACTAATTCAACTTGGGAACATCCCAGCAGGTATTGGAAAATGACACAAACAACATAGGGTGCAATCTTTAGAATTAAACATAGTAAAATGTTCACCATTTTACTACCACGTTGGCTTTGAAAGTAAAAACAAATACACTTAGGTTGTATATGAAGGTACAAATAATTTGATTAGCATGCAAATTGTTAAACACAAGCTTCCTTACATTCCAACTGAAGAACCTGCAATTAGACCAATAAGAATTACAAACTTACTGGAAAAATTTGAAGGCCTTCACTGTGTATCCAGTACCAGCAAATAGGTCTTTCAGATTATCATCTGTAATTGACGGTCTGTTACAAAAAATGAAAATGTAAAAGACATTGTTAGAATAATCGAATCTAGAGTATGACCATCCCTCTCGGGTCTTACAGGTGTTACACGCGGTGTTATTGCACTTTGTTGATTGAGAAAATCATTATTTACGCTCATTAAGCACCAAACATTCCTCCATCTACAAGCACAACCTGCAATCACCAATGATTATATACTGATGATGACAAAGTACGACTCACTCTATTAACGCGTGCACGGCTTTAAAGCAATAAAGCTTACTGATCTTGGACACGAATGAAATATTTTTGATTGAACTGATCGGTCCTGCCTTACTGGGGCATAAAGCACTAAACGACCTCATCGGCAAAAGAGCAGATGGGGCGGAGGTAGGGAGGCGATTTCATCTGCTCAGCGTCCAGCCTGGTGCAGAAACAGGAAAGCAGGGGAAAGAAAGTACTACGCCAAGCTTATCGAGAGAGCCGCGCCTTTGTCCCGCCGGTCTCCCGGAGGCCGGACACTCACGGGATGTTGGAGAGGTGCAGGGTCGGGGAGGGCGGGAAGATGTTCTGGAAGTTTTTCGAGCCGGGCTTCTTGAAGCGGTGCAAGGGGCTGTTGCTGAAGTCCTTGGTCAGGCCCTGGTCCTCCTGGCCCTCGCGGGGCAGCTGCACGGTCTGGTGCTTGGAGATGGTCACCCGGATCACCTTGCCGTGGAGCCTCTGGCCGTTGAGGTGGCTCATGGCTGGGGGGGGGGGAGGGGAAAAACCCGCAACGCTGTCAGTCCCCCACCCATCGCTCGAGTCGGGCTGGCACCTCCGGCTCCTGCGACTTCTCCATTTCTGCGTACCGGCACTTTTTTATCGTTTGCGGAACTTAAAATAATTTAGCACCGCGTTTAGTTCCCTCGGAAGTTGTTTAAAATGTGAATCGCTTTGGATTCAGCATTTATCCAATTGTGATCTGTAATACTGAAGAGCCCCCATTTGAAATCATGTCTGGCGAGCTTGCGCCCCTTAGCAAACTACAACACTCTACACAACGCTGCTACAGAAGTTCCCCCACTTCAAGCACTACTGACGTGATATGGATTCCGACTACTGGTCTTTCTATAAAAAGGCTGACAATGTTTTCGACTCTGTTCACACTTGCGTTTCCATATTGGCATCATTGCAGAGCAGCATGAAAATGTGTATCTGGTAAGGACTTGTTGTTGTGTCCGTATAACTATATCGATATAAAACTCAGAAAAGATCAGTTTGGGTACTTGTCTCAAGGGTGACAGCCTTCTGACATAATTACAAACACATGAGGTGTGGACAGGTAAACCCATTTGATACCAATAGTAGACCAGTAGTATTATTCATTAACTTAGTATTCTTAAGTAAGAGCACTTTTCTTTAACCTAATTACAATACAATAAACTTCACAACTGTCATTCTGGCTACCCACAAATATACAGTATATATAAGAAATCACTGTGCTACCCTAAGTACAGATGAATTCCTCTAGTGTAATGCTTATTTCTTATTAATTTTTTACCACCTGATACACTACAGATGTTGAAAAGAGCGTTATTACAGAAAGCAGAATTAACCTTGAATTGCCATGATAGATATAGATACTATCAGCTGCAATTGACTGCACTTTTTACTTACTTGTTCACTGGTTACTTCCTACAATGTAATACAATATCCTCTGCCAAGCCTTGTTTTCTATCACAGGTATTTCATCGGTACAGATGTTTTATGGCGAGAAAAGAGTTGTGTATAATGCCTCCTCTGTATCCTTTATGACAAGACACTTACCCAGCTGAGCCTGAGTTGCATCTGCCATTTGTATTAAGGCATTTTCTTTCTTGTTAAACAGGATCTTAACTCTGTGCACATCCCCATAGACTCCTATAGAGAGAAGACTTTATTCATTCCATATCCATGAAGACCAAAGAAGTAAACATCAATAATACCACCAATACATGATACAGAAACATTTTCCAAAGTATAAGTAGTAAAAGTGAAGTATCAGTTTTAAAATTTCAAGAGATCTCTAGCTAAACAGATTCATAATTCATGAACAAACGGTCACCATGATTGCCAGGTAACTACTGGGATGGTTTTTTGTATATTCCAACTTCCAAGCTATTATGAGTTGATTATGGTGACAAGAGTAAATACTGACCGAGGGCTTCTAAACTATGGTACCATCAGCAATGTCATTTAACAAACCCAACAAAAATAGCGAATAAAGACTCCTTACCAAACAGGATGAAAAGCCCATGTGGAGATATGCTCTAAAAGAAACAAATGATTTTAAGATCCTGTCAATAAAAATCATTTTAAAAGAGGGAGGCAGGAGCAGAAGAACAGCTGGTAATTGAAAAAATACGAACATTTAAGTTGACATTAAGTGTTGCATCTTCTAATCCAGCAGTATTTATTCCAATCTGTACTCACATCTGGGTTGAGGTTGGAGACGAGAAGCACCGAATGCACTGTTGCAGGAGTCATTCCGGGGATGGCCATGCGCCCCGCCATGGCGGAGGCTGGTATTGTCAGCGGACCTAGAGCACCCGGCACGGTCTGCATGGAGAGACCTGAAGGACAGGGTGAGAGATCCCACTGTTAACACCAACACACAGGGGCAACCAACCCCGTCAGGATTACTACAGCTTTACCAGCATGAGGACCAGGCCTCACCAACTGCTGGCCAGCTTCGAAAAGAAAACACACCCCTTTTCATTACGCTAAGGATTGAAGCGTAACTCACTTTAGGACAGTGAAGCTGTGTTTCACAACCTCCCATTCATGCACTGCACAATCCCCGATGACAAACTGTCATCTCCTCTCAACCCAGCTAAACTCTTGACTGTATCACTGGCATTTCAATTTTAATGTCAGCACATCATGTTGTACTGTATTGCTTTTGTTTCAATTACTGAAGATTACAAATTTAAAACTCTGCATTACAAGCTTTCATTCCTTATTCCATTATGTGATATTACTGGGCTATTAAGGTTTGCTTTTGTGTATGCCACTCTGCCTTATGTACTGCACATTATTAATATTTTACAACATTTGACTGATCCTACGTCAACTTGGACATGAGCATAAACTAAATTAAATAAACTTCCACATAGTCCACATGGCATCTATAACACTTATATATTATCATCAAAGAAAATGAACCTTAAAATGAATTGTAAAAGTTCAAGCAAATAATTTTGCTCTAGAATCTCCACTCATTATGAACTGTGGCACTGTACACATCTCATGTTCTTCAAATGTAGATATATTGACCCAACACATCATACAGTACGTACTGTAAATGTTTTACCTGGTTCAGGAAAATTATTATAAATCCAAGACATGCAAAACAAAATACTTTTATACTACCCATAACCATGCATTATCATGCCCTGTAATTTAATGTGGCAAGTTTTACAAATAACAAAATGATAGTTTTCCACAGAAAATAAAACCAACCAGCAAAGTGACAAATGTTTAATTTTAATGTTCAGATGACATCTGTCCAGATTGCTCTGTATCAGTAAAGGCATTATTTACTTTAATTTGAAGATATTGCAGGAACAGATTGCTCTCAGTTAATCGAAATATGATACACGACTAGGCTCCATGCAGGTTGACAGACAAGAAGAATGATTTCAGACTGTGGCCATAAAGTGAAATATGGCTCGCAACAACAGTGACGTGTAAGGTCATTCACCGTGTCTTTCACAAGCCAGGATGAAACACCTGCATGAAGTTTGTAAATCTGGTTTCAGCCAAGAAGGGTACATTATGTCACAACTCTTAATATGCTTTATTTGTGTCGTACAGACAACGGTTTCTACAAGCTATACACACTGTGCGGACATAGTGGAGGTGACAAAGGATCACTGTGGACATCATCAGCAGGAGTGTCCTGTGGGTGTGCGTGGACATTGCAAATAAGGACATCATTTTGTTTTAGTCAGTGCTAAAGGCTTTTTGCTTTGCTTTCATACAAACAAAGACATCTTCCTGCGTGGTCCCTGCAATTATGTTGCCGCCGATACATGAGAAAAGCCAGCACTGTTGTCATTAACACTATATCCACTGCGGAGCACTGTACCTGCAGCCTGGGGGAAGCCAATGGCTGGAGCAAAACCTGCAGCTCCTGCATAGGGTGAAGAAATAATTCCAGGGGCACCTGTAGGAGACAGAAAAGAGCACATGATAATCAGCAAATGGAAGAGGAGGTGGGGTGGGACAACTTCTCATACACTTGAATAACAGGGTTCATTATGGTTCATGTATCAGCAACCTGCAGCCCAAAACACTGGAGGTAAAGGTTTACATAAAAACAAAGCTCGAGTCTAACTTCACACAAAATACAGTACCAGTGCAAACTGGTCTATTGTGGAGGTGTAACTGTGGCTCACAATTGATTTCTCCCTTCGCTATTTCCTTGTTCAAGAGGGTGTTTGTGTTATAATAGTACAGAAGTATGAAACATCCAAAGAGGAACAATCAAAAAGAGTAGCATGGAAGACTTTACAGGATTATTTCGAACACAAAAAGTATAAAGGATGAACTACATTCACTATGTATTACATGGCAATTTATTTTGCTTTAAAGATTTATTTTGCACATTAGAGCTGCCTTAAGTATTTAAACTTAAAAATATTGACTTACGTCATTTTCTTTAAATTGATTAATTTCTCCATCTGGATGATTAAATCGATTACTCTACTGACTCGGTATGTACCTGTTAACTCAATCATAGTACTAATGTGCAAGAAAAGCAACAGTTTTTGTGATCCTTCAGTTTACTCAGCAGTGTTTACACAGTGGGTACCTATTGTCATCTGCTCTGCCAAATAAGAGTATAATTAAGTTGCATTTTTACTGGACTTTAAAGATTTCACTGGGTTTCCGTTTCAGAGATCAATTTACTTTCATTTTGTGTAGAACTACACTCCTTTAATTTGTCAATCTCAGTGCATTTTGCCTTTAAGGAAACGCTGACCATCTTTAGTCCTTTGTATCTGAAGGACGTTCATAAAGTTCAACTTATATGCGGGCCCTGGATAATAATGCTTAATGAAATGTAACACCTACCGAATCGCCAAGTGCCCGATAAAAAGAACTTTTTAAGGCACTATTTAAAATAAGGCAGTAACTCTACACACTGCAATAGAATACTTAGCATAAAAACCATACACCAAAAAAAATCAGGTCCAATGTTACTGAACTGCACCTGCAGAAAGTCCTTAATGATGTCTTCCACCGAGTTAACCTGAATTATTTCTACCTAGAGATCTGCTTCTTGTTCTTCATTGCAAATAACTGTACGTTTGTAAAAGATTATGCATGTTATATCATGAGTAGTGATTTTGAAGGAGTTGTGACAATGTTTTTTAACCTCATTCAAGTGTTAGCAAAATAGCTTACTATATGTAGTAATCACCCACAACACTTCTGAGCATGAAAAGCTACTTCACTACTTGTTAATGATGATTAAATTACACTCTTTTCAAGCTGTTAACAAATTTTACTCCTACACATTTGTAGGCTAAGCAAGTGCAGAAAGGTATTCCCTTCACTTATAAAAAAAAAAGGATAAACTTTTGCTAGAGGGTTCCTTCATTACATTAACGAAATATCTTTATTTACATGCAAAGCCTTGTGTTATTTAACTTTGTGTAATTTCATTTATTGCAACAGTCAGACCAATCCAGAGAAAAAATAATGTACTGTAATGAGGTGACTGTTTAAAAACTACAGATTTGTTAAGAGTCGGGAATAAGATATCCAATAGTAAGATGACTAAGACAGAATGAATCTGCAGACAAAAACAAAACAGCCAGTGAAACAGCCACAGGACCTTCCCATAGGTTTCCTAGTGTGCCATGTTTCACCCACAATGATGGTCTAGCTTTGATCCCCAAAGAAAGGCACCAAGAAGATACAAAACGTGGCTGCACTCTAAAAATAATTTCTCTCTTTTAGTGGTGCTGTCCAGCCCATGGCTGTTGCAAATTTAAGCCAGGCTGCTCCTGATAACAACCCAGGAAGACAAGTGGGACATTAGTCAGTTAATTTATCAAGGATGTTTTATTAACAAACATGACAAAGCGGAGGAGGCTGTGGACATTCGCACTATTTCCCAGCTCATTCAGCCTCCTTGTGGCGGGTCTTATCTGCATCTGCAACACTTCTTGTCTCAGACAGCAGGCAACTGATTTACAGGCTGAGGCAACAAGAGGGGCATCAACTCCCCTCCCAACACAGCCTTCACGCCAATAGGAGTAACAGACACAGCAGCTAATAATACATTAATCATTACGCTCAGGCCTCTAATGCAGTCACTATTCATAACTTAAGTGGTTCCGATAAAGGCTTTTCTTTTCCTTTTAATGGTGTGCGTGTTGGTAACTGATAGCATTAACATAAAAACCACTTCCAGAGGGGGAAGCGGTAACAAGGAAGAGAAAAATATCTCTAAGTCTGCTTTGCCTGTGTAAATCTTGCCTTTTAAATAGAAATGCAGCAGAAAAAGACTATCAGATTTTTTTTTTTATCAGCAGACTAAAGGCTGTATCTTCAAAGCCCACAAAGCTACAATCCAGAAAACTGAGATGAATGCAAACAATTAAACTGAAGCAATAATTTAGCTCCTATATTGTAGGCAACTCACTGATGTGAATCAACACAATCTGGTCCACATTCTAAAGCTGTGTGAAAATATATTTTTCCAATAATACCCCTTGCGCTTGAATGGAAAGATGCCAATCATTGAAGAAAAAAAAACATTAAGGTCTACATACTGTAGATATCTTCTAGGATAGTTAATATTTTCTATCATTAATCATATTTGATTATCCATCCATTTTGACCAGGACATTTGTCTTTTGCAGGGGACAGAGACACAGACAGGCACACACTCACGCCAGGGCCAATTTTCAGAGAATAGAATATGCTGTACTCATTTTATTAGATGTTAATTATAAAGATTACTCATAGCACACAAAGCAATTTCAAATACAGTGATATTTATATTATTTGCGGAGAAGGTAACAGGTGAAATTCACAACTGATTACTCAGGGTATTACTTGAGTAGGTAAATTTAACAACTAATACAGTTCAACAATGTTTTGCTCTGCCAATGAATTGCATTAATGTGCAACATAATGATCTAAGTATCTATCTGAATATTACAGTTTAAAAGGGATCTGATTTAAGAGTTATAAAAGTTGTTAAAACCAGTCTTCAGAATTATTCTTGTTTTTTTAATTTTTTAATTTTATTACTTGTGACATATGTATTTAAAAAACATCAACATTAATCTTCACACGCAGGATCTGAAAATTGACAGGTTATAAATCATCTTTGGCAAGTCAACACCAAAAGATAATAAAGAATATCAATACACACGATAATTACAAGGCCAGCCCGTGTCACCTACACTTCACTGCTTCACACACATCTCCAGCTGAGCTACTGAACTGTGTGAAATCAGTTAAGACAACACAGTAAAACACAGGCCAACACCACCAATGTCCTTGAAACCTAGGAATCTTTCCACAGTCAATGTAAAGTATTGTATACCGATATATATATATACTGTATATCAACCAAACTGATGGGTTCCAGAACACAGTAAAAGGTAAAACAGTACCTGCCAACCAGTAGTAACTCTGAGAGACGTGGAGCTGGGAACACATTCATGTGGTTGAGGTTATGAACTAAAAATTATTTACCAAGGAAATAAGATTTTGGTGGCATGCTAGCTTGTTGGAGAGCATCCCTTTCTTCATTTGATCAGACAACCATATTTTAAATTAAAAGGGAACCATATTACCATATTGTAACTTCTGAATCTGCTCTAAGCACTGGTTAGCCTGTGAAATGTACAAAACTGGGATTTCTTTTGCAATATATTAAATATATAAGGGGACTCCAAAGTGGTTCAACCAGTAAAACTGCTTGCTCGAGCACAGGTTGAACTCTATGATCCTAATGTTGTGGGTTCAAAGCCCGGGTCTTAGAAATATGTGACTAACAACATTCTCACGATTGGCTGAGGATCCCCAAGGGCAGGGCAGGACTATCGGTCAGGGCTCTCTCTCAGCCACATGTGACTTTCTGAGCGCTTGAAGGTTTATGAAGCTGTCAGAGTGGGTCATGCTTTTCCTCAAGTTTGCACTGAGCCTCCTGTAAGGGGCTGTATAGCTTATGACATGCCAAAGGATCAATGGATATCCAGCTACATTACTCTGGCATCTTTAAGAAACTAGTAGAAGTGAACCATGGATCACAATTAACTACCAAACTGTATGCCTGAACTTCCTGATAGCTTGAAGGTGGGTAGATCAGAACACACTGCCTGAATGTCCTCATTGTTCTCCAAGTGTGGGCGCGCTGTTCATTTTCAATTGGCGATTTAAAACTGGATGGGTGTATATAGATAAGTTTAAAAAAATGGCTAAAAACACTGTTTGCGCCACCTACGTCAAGACCATATGCCAATCTTATACTAAAGTTCTTCATTGTTACCCCCAACAGTTGTTCTGTGATGGTCTTTGTGAACACAATTATTTCATTTTCACTGGTGATCAGTGGTCAAGATCAACTGTGATCAAAGTGTAACATGTAACCATTATACACCAATTAGATCAAGTGAAAAGTGTGTGTATTAGGACAGGGAAATTAAATTTTTCATTTTTGCTGTGTAAGACTTAAATTTGTATTACTTTACGAAACCTTAATTGCAGCTACTTTCAGTTATTTCTTGTTTGTGGGGTTTTTGGATTTTGATTTCCACTTTCAAAAGTAAAATGCATGCATGACAGGATTTATATCAGGAGACTGACTGTCCAGTTCAAGACTGCACTTCTTCTTCCTAGTGTGCAGTATATTTTGTGTCACGGTTTTGCTGCAAGTTGTTGTTTGGAGGCACTGTTTTGTACATTTCAGAATTGTGATGGCAGCTGCCATCATCAGTTAAATCATCAATAAAGACCAGTGAGCCAGTTCCAGAGACAGCCTTGCACGCCCAAGGCATGACACTACCTACAGATACTTTCACAGATAAAGTGGTATAGTCAAGATAATTTGTAGTTTCTCTCCCCTTCTCTCACTTCCCCAAAGGTTTATCTTTGTCTCATCTGTCCATAAAACTTTGTTCCAGAACTCCTGCAGCTCACCTTTGAACTTCTTTGCAAACTCAAAGCCTTTCTGTTTTTAGTACTGATGAGAGGTTTGTAGCCCTTGTAATTCTCCTGTTGCAGTCTCCCGGGAACAGTAAATTCATATACCGTACCTTCACCCCTGCACTCTGGAGTTTGTCTGCAATCTCTTCGGCTTTAATTTTGGAGATCGTCACAGCTCTAATAATTTCTTCTGTGTTTTTTCTAGAACGACATGGTCTCTGCCCACTTCTTACTCCTTCAGTCGTTTTTCTTTTTGAAGACATTCCATTTTGTTGATGGCCAAACGTTTTGCAATGGTTCTAATTCGAATTTTCTTGTTTCTCTTCTTCACGATTGCTTGCTTTTCCTACTCAGATTGCCCTCCAGCTCTCATCTTAGTTCATGCCTACGAGCTCAAGAGGCAGACTCAAAAAGTAAGCTCCAAATGCTGGAACCAAGACTATGTATTAACAGCTCATTCACATTTCCAAAATGAATGCATCATGGAAGACCTAAGCAATTAGAAATACCTGTCAGCCTCCCCCCCCCAGTACTTATGCTCACCTGAGAAGGGGAGATTGAACACAACAAAATAATTGGTCTTAACATGACTAAACATGTATGCAAAATAACAGAAAAGGCTAAATTCTGTATTTTGCCTCAGTTTAATCTTTATTTGAAATACAAATTTTAGCAAAAATCAGAAATTTCACTTGACTGTCCCAATACTAATGCTTTTCACTATATAATAATCTGAAATTAGTCTGATGAAAGGTACTGGCTGCCATCCTACAGCAATACCATTGAAAGCTCTTAACTGACAATTGACATGAGCATACAGCACTCGCTGTTCTAGTGGCACCAGTCTCACACTGGTTTTCTAATTTACTGTAATGAACCTGTCTGCTGTTCACCCTCCAATACACAACTAGGAACTTAATGAAACTAAGCAGGTGTGAACCTGGCAAGTATCTGGAGTGGAGACCTCCTGGGGAAGCTATGGTTGTTGCTTGAAGAGATATTAGAGTGGGCAGTACGGGGTGCTTATCCTGTAGTCAGTGTGAATCCTAATGCCTCAGTAGAGACAGGAACACTATACTGTAAATAAAGCCAACATGTAAACCGGATGTCAAGTAAAACTGAGGTCCGACTCTTCGTGATCATTAAAAAATCCTAGGACATTTTTCAGAAAGGGTAGGGGTGTCACCCCAGTATGCTGGCCAAACTTCTCCCCGGCCTTTACCAGTCATGGCCTCCCAATAATCTCCATCTATGACTTGGTTTCATTACTCCGTTGTCCCCACTGACAGCTGATGTGTAGTGAAGTGTCCAGGTGGTGTTGGAGAGGAGTCCTCATTACCTGTAAAGCACTTTGAGGGGAGCTTCCAGAAAAGCATTATACAAGTGTAAGGATGTATTTATTTCCTCCCACCCGAAGAAAGCTCCAAAGCAGAAATGTTGTTTCCTTTCTTCTCTTTTCAGCATGAAATAAACCTTTTACTTGTTCCTTTGCAGCCTGCGCATGCTGACGCAGCTACCTACCTGAACTACTTCATTTCCTTTGTCACCCAAGACCCGTACTGTCACTTTTGAGTGATGAAGACCAAAACATGCGCTTCGGTCCGGAAACTGTCTTACCAAAAGCTGCAGCCATGCTAGGATCCAGCGTCGGCTGCCCATCACCAGACGGAAGATCAACACGAGTGAAGTCTCTGCTTTTATCGTTGTTGTATTTTACATTAAGGCTGGTCAGCTTGGAGAACTCAACACGCAGCGTGCAGCATGCATTGTAGATGTTCTGGCCATCCAAAGTCTTGGGAAGAAAGAATAGGTGAAAAGAGAATTTGTGAAAGCTGGAAAACACTGTTGAGCCTCAGACCCTCAACATACGTACAAATGCCACTTAGGTGTAGCTAAAAAAAAGAATGGAAAGCTTTACTGAACATTTCTTGACCATTTTCTAACATGACTGTCTTCCCTGTCCTTAAATATACAGTATATGGGGTACAGCATGGATTAGTGGGTAATTCTCTGGAATCATAACTGACAAGCTATAGGTTACAATCTCTGCTACAGACCATCATGGATTTACATAAAACCTTAATTGATGAGTAAACAAAACTTGGTTCCAGAGCAAACTACAGAACACTGATTTAATATAGATTCAAAAATACTGATGGCACAAAGCTGTTGATCTCTTGATGAGAGGGGTACTGTATATTGTTCCTTAATATTTTTCATTCTTCATTTCTTCCAGACCTGACATTCAAATAGTTAAATCATCTCCTGCGCTCAATCAACTCTCTCTCTAATGTAGTGCTTATACAGTCGTCAAAGCCACATTAGAGAAGATCATGATCAGTCATGAATGACTGATTATTCAAAATGGTGCAAATAAAAGTAACACATTGCCAAAAATCTGTGTTCTTAATTATCCTAAAATAAAAGGCTGTTATGTACAACAAAATAGTTTGCTTTATCTTTCATTCCTTATTCATAACATACTCTTCATAATTTTTACCTTTCCCATCAAAAAGCTGTTCATATTGTATCGAGAAACAAAGAAAAATATAAAGATATTGTATTCAGGTTAGTTCTAAAGCAGAGTATAAACAATACTGTCTACCGTGTACCCTAATCTAATAAATCTGCTGATTTCTTATGACATCTTAATGGAAATAACTCCCATTAGTGCTTTCACAACGTCTAGATGAACAGGGATATAAGATATTCCTACTCTACGGGCGGTCGCTTATTAAAAGAACCCCCAGTGGCAAATGTTTAAATGCTCCCAAAGCAGCAAGCGGAAGTGGTACTAAAACAAAGCTTCTGTATTTTAGGTATTAATCCGAAGACCTGTTCTACACAGTTATCAGACATGCATGTGCAGAAACAGGTTGTTTTCTCAGTAGCTGGCAGCCAAATGGAAGAGGGATGTGTAACACAGAGTAACCTGTGCCTGAGCAATATCCTTCTTCCACTAAGGAACACAGCCATATTTTTGGCTTTCCTCCAAAGAATCAAGCAGATGGGATTTATCTACCTTCTACCCCTTTGATGCCCGCCTCCCAACTACCCTGGATTGTTTTCATTGTGCAGGGTACCCATGTGCCATGGCAGGAGGACAAAGGATTACACCCACAGATGAAAGGAGTAATGACTTACTCTTTTGTTCAAATAATGCTCATTAGATATCCGCAGTAGTGACAAATTAATCAAAAGCCCTTGTAATTTGTGTGGCGCACTCAGGGCCTTTGTGGGAGAGTATGACAGCAACACTGACAAATTGCTGGCTGTTTAAACAAGAAGGATGGGGATTTTCACAGTAGCTATCAAAAGTTTGGCGCGGAGAAAGAGGACATTTGTAAATTCGACCCTGTGGTGCGTCATCTTGAGGGCAGCCAGGTGCAGACTGAAGACGAATCTAAATTGAATGCCACCGTCATTTTTCAGATGAGGGGAAAATTGGAGGCTTCAGAAACACCAGTTAATATGATAATATTCCTGGAAGAATTAGTAAATCTGGGCAGTTTGTTCTCTTTCACAGACCTATTCATGTCTCAAGACCACTAAGCTTCTTTATTTTCTTATGTTTTGAGTACGATAATGGTTTAAAGGTTAAAGGGAGACAATTTATTCAATTCAATTCAAGTAGTCAGTGCAAAACTTTATGTTGTACAGTTTGACAATTTTATATTTCTTCTAGACTTCTAAGCCTCTGTTGTATTTTTACTATTAATGAGAGCTACCGCAACAGAATTACGGGGAATAACAGGGCAGCTGTCACTTTAAGAGTTTTAATTGGTTTTAGCTTCTAGAAAAGGATTTTTTAAGTTCATGGAGGTTACAGTTCTAAAGTGTTTTAAAAGAGAAATTGATATGGTTGTGAACACACACGTATATAAATCTCTGTATGAAAGTTTTAGTTTCGTTAAGCTTTTAGGCTGTAACTTTAAACATATATTTTCATAAGGTTTCTCAAATACTAGTTTCACGACTACAGCTTTTAATTGCTGGTGAAAGCAGTGTACCATGAGTATGTTTTGACATCCTGGAAGTTCTAAGAAAAGTAGTTAAGGATTTCTTAAAAATTCAGGGAAAAACAGTGCAATTAAGTAAATACACAATCTTGGGCGAGGAAAACAAAGTGGCCCAGAACATACCAGTTTGGCGTGATGTGCATTCATAGGATCAGCATACTGTAGCAAGGCTTGAAATTGGTTATTCTTAGTAAAAGTGATGATCTTTAGGACTGTCCCAAATTTTGAGAAGATCTATTGAGAAAAAAAGAGATTCCATAATAAGTGTAATTAAGAGTAGTCTCAAATCTGATATCCCAAACAACATCTGTGACGGACTGAAATATTAACCATGAACAAAATGGCATTAGTGAAGGCTTCCCTAGGTTTTATCCCCCACAAAAAAAGTTCTTCTAAGCTACAAACCACAGACTTTAAACCTTAACAACCTTTTTTGTTCCAATCTTCATTGCTTGAGCACAATGGGGATATGGGGATTAGGAATCTGTCTGCACACAAATTACCTCTCAAACACAACAGCCGGAAAAGAACCTCATAAACCCAGTTTATCAAAGCACGGATTTTGGTTTTAGAAAAGTTAGCAGGAAAAGAAACTGCACCACAGAATTCAGCTGAGGCTCTCTAGGGAGCCAAACTAAGAGTCAGTTAAAGTAAATGGCCTCCTCTGCAGCAATTACCGACTGTCCAGTCCTCAAAACCGCTTTAGTTTTTATGATTGGTCAGTCTGAACAATTTTTTTTTCTAACACGGGCAATTCAAATGCATTCTGTCGAGCACAAAAGCTCTTGAAGGTCACAGCAGGGGTCCACTCCTTTCAATCTTCCCCTAAAAATTGCGTTCGGGGGGAAAGAAAAGTTCATTTCTCCGCGGTAAGGAAGGCTTACCTGGTGCAGTACTTCGAGAGACACTGGGTAAAAGAGGTTTTCCACAATGATGCGCAGCACGGGGCTCTGGCCTGGCATTAAGGTGCCGTCGCTGGCCGACGCTGAGCTGGACAGTGTCATGTTTCCTGAGTGCACTGCGTTCACTGTCTGTAGGGCAGCCTGGGCTCGCTGCAGGGGAATAAAATACAAGCTTTCCACATATGAGAGGATACAACAGGCCATTACGGGCTTCTAGTATTTCCCCATTTTCATTTTTGCCCAATCTACCCTCCATTGAAAATCACTCGAACCATACTGTACATCAATTCCCCTTTTAAGATACAGGTTTGTTTCTTCACAACTTATCAAAAGGGATTGTTTTGTGGTAAAATGTTACACCATCTCTCTTCTTGTTAGACCCATCAGGCCAAATACTAAAACCACACCGACAACCAACCGCCTTCTAGGGTCATGGGTGAGGCAGAGCCTATCCCGGGAAACAATGGGAGCAAGGCAGGATACACCCTGGATGGGACTCTGCTCAATTGAAGGGCAGACACTGACAAAAACAAACACTCACACACTTATACCAGGGGCAATTTTCCCAGAAGCCAATTAACCTTCCAGCATGTCTTGGAACTGCAGAAGGAAGCCTGACCACATAGAGGAAACCCATTCAAGATGGGAATAACATACAAACTCCATGCAAAGAGCACCCCAGGAACTGAAACCAGGGCCCCTGCACAGTCGCCATGAACATTCTGTTTTGCAAAAAGGTCCTGGCCTAAGGCCAACTCATATCTTAAACTCCTTCATGTCCTAATACTATTTTTCCTTCATTTTATATTTTAGTTGCTTAATCAGTTTTAAAGATTCAGATTTCCACATCATACTTATCGTACAAACGCCAAGGTTTTAAAAAGCGTAAAGTACTTAAAATCTTGGTTTAAGTATAATAGAGGATCACTAGTCCTGCTCCAATGTTGTGACACAAGATCAGCTGAGAATCTTTAACTTGATTTTTATTTTCTTGGTGCTCAAATGTCCATGAAGCATTACCATTAATTATCAGATTGTTTTAAATATATTTGTTTGCAAGGTTCAGCCTTCTGCAAGTGGGCCACATAGAGGCAGATTACCAGCAGCACCTAATTCAACTGTTTTGTCTATTCCAATAATCTTCCAGTTCTGGTTCATATTTTTACATACTTGTTTAAAACATAACTTCAGCTAAATTCTTGCTCGCGTTCCAGTGTCTGATTGGAACCAGAAGGACAGTTAGTCAGCTCAGGTGCTTAGACACCGTTGCTGTAATAGCTGCTCTCTCCCTCCACAGTCACGTTTCTGAGGAGGCAAGAAGGTGGTATCAAAGTACAACATATCTACAGTATCTACAGCGTCCATTATTCTTCCCTTGAGACCCTGTTTCCAGCTCCTGAAGCTTGATTTGAAATATTTGAGGAAAGTAAAACGCAGGAAAGGTGCCTGAAACCACATTTAATACTCACAGCTTGGTTGGGCAAGTTGTCTGTCTTTAGTTCTCTGTGGTTAGAGTATTGAATGAAAACGGGCTGGTTGCGAAGATGTGGAGTAGCAGTGGTGTAGTAGTTCACCATAGTGATAGCTGCGTCTTCGGAAGCCATTTCTATAAAAGCCTGGAGGAGAAAGTATGAACCATCATTATTTAAGAAAACTCCATTTTGTTTTGCTCAAGTTAGGCTAAAGAATCGTTTTCTGTAGTACACACCTCAAAGGAAAATGTTGTTTGTTTTGGTCAATTACAATTACTGCAATCTTTTCAATGAACTATAATGAAAAAAGTATCACAGCCAAGCTGTACCTGCTGGTAAAAGTGCAATTTCTTTTTTTTTTTTACTGTTAGCACTTAAAGAAATTCTGACATTTAGAAATCATTATGTTCTTACAATTATACACTCCATATATTTTAAGTTTCAAAATGTATCCACTATTCCAGAGGATACAAATTGAGAATTTAGTCAAAAGAGGATGCATCTGTTACTTTGTTTTATTAGGCAACACGAAAACTCTTTAAATACCAAATATTTCTACAAATTGACAGCGAAAGGGTTAAACATTTTCAGGTGAGTCCTTGAATCCTCACAAGCAGATTTTTTGTGTCAAACAATAAATATAAAATTAAAATGCCACAAAGAAAATAAGCATCCTTTTGATGCACCAAATCATACATATTGCATGCGAAATGTATGTATCAAAGCACCAGATAATTTAGTGGTTTCATTCTTTCTTGTTTCAAACCTGTGATTTAAATATGAAAGGGCATTTGAGGGAGATGCCTTTCTCACGTATCATTTGCCAATAGCAGTTCTTATTAAGGAGATCTTGATGCACATGAAAAAGACACACAAATGCCAAGTAAACGGACCTGCATATCGTTATGAGAAGAGATCAAGCATGCAAGATTTGCTTTAAAATGCCGGATACGTCTTTGGAGGTCTTCAACATTCTGGCATTAATGGGGCCACAGTTGCATAAATAATTAATGCGCACTTAACAGTCTTAATGCAGACCACAGCGGAGAAGTTACAATACCTAGTATGGCTCACTTGATGAATGTGTCCTTTTGAACCAGTTCAATACCCTGATAAATTATGGTCTGAGAAGATTCAGGGAGGAAGCAAGCTACAGAGGGCAAACTCTGACTAACCAACAGTGTCACCGCTCCAGAGTAATGAGAAAGTGAGGAGAAAATGAAAAAAACGAGCTGTGGGGTGTCATCACGTCCGAGCAAAAAGCACATGAAAAATCTCAGAGGGTTTTCTTTGAGAATCTCTCTTCTAATTCTTATTATCTCTATAACCCACAACTCACAAGGACAGGAGGGGCTACCTAACAAAAGGTTGTGGGTGTGTGTAACAAGCAACACAGCCATGTAGTTTTCTTTCAAGTAAGGTGCGGATACAATTCTCAGATCAACTTGCTTTTAAAAACTAAACAGGCTAGGCACACCACGTGGCATTTTCCATTTTCTGACCTTTCTTACGTTCTTAGCATAAGAAAAAGCAGCAGAACTATTGCTGTTCTTGTCAGTTTAATGGGTAAACTGTTAGGGCATGTGGTCAAGCAAAAGACTCATTCCTCCATGCAGCCACTTATCGCAAACAACATCCAAAGCAGCTAGATGCAACGGCTGGCTCTTTCAGGGAATTTGTGCATATTTGTGGACCACAGGCGGTCTCGTGGCCCACATGCCATGGCAGGACAAACACATCATGAACGTAACCATTATTAGCTCTGGGTATAAGAAGCTTGTCCAAATCCATCGTGATCCCCTGATTTCTAGCTAAACCAAAATATTTCAAAGGAAGAACAAAAGGAGTAAATCCTATTAAGCAGGAAAACGGAGTCAGATAACCGAGTGTAGTGGTAACTCTAATCATACCCACGTGCATGTCTTCTCCCGGCCAAATCCCAGAAAAAAAAACCCGACGTACTTGATTTTTCCCTTTCAGCATCAAAAGGTTGGTGACTTTGCCAAACGGGACTCCTAGTGAGATGACCTCTGCTTCGGTGACTTCGAGGGGAATCTTGCGGATGTGAAGAACACGGGAGGGGGCACAGGGAGATCGGTCTCCTTTAAACTTCTTGCTGTCGTTGCCATTAGCTGGGAGGAGAGAGCAGAGAAGACACCATGAAAAAAGGCTCAGACTTACTTAAGCCGCTACTCGCACACTGGATGGCAGGTCTAAAGAAGGCCTTCAGTGTTCAGTGAATATTCTCTTTTAGCTAAATGAAATGTTGTCTATGTAAGGGATACAAAAAAACAACTTCACTATTATAATAATAATAATAATAATAATAATAATATTGTATTAAATAATCTTTGATTTATATATAATACTGTGATGACATCATTTATATATAATTTATATTATTTATATAACCTTTATTTAAACTAAAAAGCCAATTCAGAACAATTACAACGATAACATGGATAGCACCTATTTATATAGCAAGCCATTTTATTAAAGAAATCTCGGATATATACACTTTGATGAAGGCACAACAGTGGTGAGCCCAAGGCTTTTAAAATAGATTAGTGGGTAACCATATTAAAGTTATGTGATATCAAAATGTATCACGAGACAGGATGAGACAATCTAAGTACACGGTGACCAAAATCTTACACAATTTATGCCCTGCCTGCACATCATGTTTCCATGATTTCAACAATTCAAATTGAATTTAAAATTAAATTATCTGGATTTTCAAACAGATCCTTAGAATTAACTTTCATTTGAAAAATAATGATTGCTGTACTAGTTAAAATACAACACTAAGTGATGAGGGATCCCCCTTATTTGGGTAGTGTAGCAAGCAGGACATACACACAAAAACCCTCTGTAGTCCCTCCACACTATTTGCTGTAAACTTAATTAAAGCCCACACTGTAAATGCTGAGGTACTTGTGAAACAAGGGATCAGGCTTCCCACCCTGACTAGATCTGTAACTTCCCTCGCCTCACTGGACTTCCCTCGTAAAACAAAACCTAAACAAAGCCATTCTGTTTCTCCCTGTAACCCTGTAGGAAATTCTTATCTCCCTTATATTGGGCTAATCATAACAATTAAACAAGCCTGATGCCTCAACTAGCCAATTCAATTTCCAGACCTGTGTTCCGAATATTTTCTTAGAAAGAAGGACTGAAGACACGCTCTGCTTCGTGTGAACACCTGCCATCTTTTCTCTCGGACTGCTCTCTCACTCCCCGACAGCGAACAGACAATCGCTTTGTTACACTGCACGGCACTGTTGCTCTCCCAAGAAACAAAAAAACACTTTTGAGACGGTCACATGACACACCAGGATATTTGGATTACAATTTAGGCACCTGAATTAGTCAGTATGATCTTGGAAGATTATCACCTTCTTTTCCCTTTCACTTTGTGATAGGCTTACTGTGGTTGAGAACACATTGCTAATTTTCACTGAGCCACCCCAAGGTTTACAAGAAATGTGAAACTTGAAAGATGCACACATTTCTGCAGCTCTTCAGAACCTAACTGCTGATAAATCTGCTCAAAATCTTGCCTTATTTGCAGAGTATCATATAGCATATGTGTCATTCCAAACCTGTTGTCAAAAACTGGTCAATCTACCCAAATAGAGAGAAGTCTCAACAGCAGTAACACTGATGGCAAAAATTCTTATCTTAGATATAAGCCTCAGATAACCTTGTTGGTTGCTGAAGGAAAGCTGAAGGTGAAAAAAGAGGAAGAAAACATGAAAGAACTAGCTCATGTCAGCAAAGGGGAAAAACAGGTAAGACAAAAATCCCTATGCCACATCCAAGTAGTCTTCACTGAGGATTTTAAAGAAGAAAAAGTATATCAGAATTCAGACGGATGTTCATCAACCACAATAAAGACTTGAAGGCTGCATTATCAGTTTGTTTATAGAACATACTTCTTTCTCTATCATGAAACCTTGCTTTGTTACAAAACACAAAGCCAAACAATTTTGGGGTGGAGTCCGTTATTCTCTATGATTGCACGGGACAGGGTGTTTTTTTCCTTAGGTTTTATGTAAGCATCAACCAAAAGGAGACTACATTCAAGTTCAGAAACATGTTCAAAAACCCAATCGGTTCAGAGTTCAAAACATTGATCAAGTCCTAGAATCTTTTTAAAAAATCAAAAGCTGGTGTCAGACTTGTTTGGAAGAAATAAGCACACTGGACCTCCCCCTTGTACAGACAGATCTAGACGTGGAGAGAGCATATCTAGTACTTTTCCCCAAATAAACGCAGAACTCTGTATGATGGCTATCCATACTATACAAACCACACATAAATTACTGTTATGCCCAGGTGAGCCAGATCTCGCAGCCCTCTGTCTGCTCGGAAACTGGGTGCATTTTCTGAGGCTGTTTGGACTCGTTTGGGTCGACTGAGCCAACATTCTCCAATTAATGGGCACTAAATCCATTAAGCCCAGGGTATTTCAACCCTCCTGTGCCACTGAACAGAAACAGAAAAGAATATCAACTTTAAATTACACCAAAATTGAGTTTAAAGTTAGAAGTTAGAATCCCATTTATTCCATTTTTCAACGTTTCGAAGACTCAGAACACTAAAGGAATTCTAATCTTACAATATGAGTGTACCGAAATCATCACTAACTCTTAGCTTGTGCAATTGTGAAACATTCTCTTAGCAAACACAGAAGCCGTGTGGTATGCAAACCACCTGATTTGAATCTGCTGCGTTTTGAATACACATGAAAAACAGATTTTAACAATGCAAATATCATAAAGTTCCTCCTTTTTTGGCTTCTTACAATGCATCACTCCGAGGACAACGGATGTGCGTTCTATAAGTTTGAGTTAAATTAACACCAACTGAAGATGCACAGTTTACTTTTAGAAAATGTAATTTGTAAAAAAAAAATCTATAAGGTAGATTTTCCCGAACTCTTATTTACAAATCCCTTTTTTTCTCCAAATATGAAATTAGTTCAGAAACCTAAAAACATGAGTTCATCTTGCTTGGTTGAACTTATTAAAAGCCAAGCCAAGTATAAACCAAGTGGCAGAACAAGAAATCTGAGGCCCACCTTCTTCCCAGCCCTGCCCAAAGCAGCAGGCCTTATTCGCTCTTGTATCAATGCATGTCACTCTCTTCTTCTGAAATGCACACCTTTTCACTGTTATGACTAATTCAGGCATTCTTTAATAACACCAAGATCCAACAATATGCATTCTACACCAGACTGGTGAAGAACATATTGAGCATTAAAGGTAATTCTCACTCTATTTTTATGTTTTTAGCATAATAAAGTACATCACATTTGGATATTTACTGCATGACTGATCATTCTTCAATGACTACGATACACTTGAGTGACACCGACATGCAAAAGCACTAAATTGCCTCATTAATGAGAGTGTTTTTTCAAGAATGGTAACTGGCAATGAGGTGATTTAACCTACTGAATAGTTCAAAGGGTGGTGAAAATCAAGGACAAACAGAACCCATATCAAGTGAACACCTCAAACACATCAATATGTAGGAGGAGTGGCGCTCACAGACAACAGTCAGCAGTTTGTAATTTGGCAAGACGATATGACAGTTTGTCAATAATAGGTCATAATATGTGGAAACTATGAGTCATGACACCTCATCAGGATTTATGGGGAAGTCCAAGTGGATGTCCCGCTCTCCAAAAATGAGCCCACTGAATGTTTTGGGGATTAGCAGGAATGACATGTGACATCTAGATCCAGTGAAAAGGTACCTGCTCTTTCAGGTTCAATGAGACTACAAGATATCATCTTCATCGTGTTGTGAATTTACAGTTCGTATTGCTTTCAAGGTAGGCCGCTCTACCAGTGTGAGACTTCCACAGTGGAGTCCCTGTTGATGACATGTCATCAGCCTAATGTATTTACCTACATCTTGTTTGTTCAATAAAAAAAAATCAAAGTGCCTGCTACAAAAAGCCATTTCCTGAGGATAAATTTGGGAATCGGTCGCCGTTGCATATATTTTATTCAATACCGAAGCATTACAATCTTATTCATATTTTTAAAAGCATTTGCTGTCATGCTTTGCAATGCTTAGGTGCTGCCGAATTGCTCAGCCCGAGTGAACAACCCAGAATGATTCTGCACAGCTTGTACTACCACTCTCTCCCTACTGGCTGCTCCTGGAACATCAACTCAACATCGAGAGTTCTGCAAGCAAGGTTTCACAGCGTCCTGGCCACCAACAAAAACGGCATCAAAAGTACCGAATTTTAAACTAAAAGGGCAAAAGAAAATTCTTTTACACTCCCTATGTAGTTCCTTGGATACATCGAGTTTTCAATTTGAAAACATCTTCCTACAAATCTTCCTACAAATCCTTTGTAAACTGTCTCCTATGGCTCAAAGTTTTCCATGAAGAGTTATGAGAACATATTAAATGTAAAATGTAAAGAATAGAATTAGAATCCCATCATAATGTTCAATTCACTTCAAGTGTAATAAAGTGCTTTTTATTTTTTAAAACTGGCCTAAGTTGATTGAATATCCTGCTGTGATTAAAAATACAATTTATATGCATAGCTAAATTGTTTGTTAGATTTGTTTCAAATACAGTGAATATACATACTAGGGAAAGAGTGTATAGTTAATTTTAAAAACACATGCCTTTTTAATACCTGGAGGAACTTCAAATCCTGACCGATCAAACATGTTATCGTCTGAAATGTTGATGTCTTGATGTATAGATCTATTTACATTTACATCTCTCATTTTTCATATCAGTGAAAAACAGATCCATAAAATGCTAACCTCTAAAAACACGCCTGTAACATCTTAAGGTCAGAACTATGAAATGAGTGACTGTTATTGGTCTGTGGTGTTCTCTCAGTGACCAATAGATTGCTCTGTTTCCATGGTAAAAAGCACATGGTTGCTTAGGAGCATCTGGCACTCAGCTGTAGGAAGGTAATTTATCTCACTGAGTAATTAAGAAATCCTGTTGTAAATCTAATAGGATTAAGGATCCCATTAGAGTTAAAAAACAGACAAGAAACCTTAAAACTAGGCCTCATAACTCATTTTTCTGTAACTTCTTTCCTAGAATGTTTTGTTTTGTGTGGGCAGATGTAATCCAAGGT